TTCCTATTAAACTGTTATGGTCAAACATTTCTTGTAACATAGCAAAGATATTGCTTTCTCACTGCAAGCATCCTTTCTCTATGGTGTGCTCTGATATCTGGGTAGCCTAAGCATTTTTGCAAGGAGGGGAACAGGTTCTTGCCTAGACACCAGTTCTCTTCCTCACCCCCCAAAAGTACTGGTACCACTTCTGTTCACTTTTCACTTGTACTGTAAGAGAGAATATTTCACTAGTGCTGAGCAAGAGGTGTCAGATTTAGGTTCCATTTTGAAGGTGAGGGTTTCTCTTGCCCTTAAAGTCAGGAGTAGACTTGGAAGTGGAGAGTGTCTGGTTGTTGCTGGAAAGAAGAGAATCCGCTCTTTTCAAAGTTCCACCAGCACAAGGTGAATAGCACTTCTGGAGCAGATGAGACTGGTGTACTGTTATCTCTAGTTCTGTCTACAAGTTGGACCATTTTTCCTGTAAAGCTTTGACACACCCATGTGTTTGTTCATACATGCACACTGTCTGCAATAGCCATCACATGGAACATGGATGTATTCTTTTCCTGCAGCCAGGCAATGCAACCATGACTCTTAACAAGCCACCAGAAGTAGTGGAGCCAAGTAGAAGTGCTTTTGGCAGTGAGAATCCCCTTCCAACAGCTGTCAGTCATGCTGGTTGTTTTTCTTCCTTCCCCCCCACCCCTTGGTAAAACTGAATCCCATTGGGTGAAAGCAAGTGGCAACTTAGCATCACCCACAACTGTGTTAGATTGTCTCAGGAGAGGTGCTGGGAAGCTCCTCTCTGGAAAATGATGACACACACAGATTTGACTTCTCCCATGGATGATAATTGTTCTGCACAGTTCATCTCTCTAATGATTCAAGGAGTCTTTCTAGTAAGAAATGTCCAGCGACACGATTATGTTAGCAGAACTGCTCTGCGACTGCACCAGAGGACACATTTTTCTGCTTGGCTTGCCTAAATTTGCTGGCTGCATCCTGCTGTTTACTTGGATTAAGAGGAAGCATATCTGCCCCATTAAAAATGGTGTCCCATCTCTTCCTGTCAAGCAGTCTCTCCCAGCCTTGAGAAGAGCCAGTGGGAGGACCATAAGAACAATAGCACTAAAGGGCAATAGTCAGTTTGGACCAAGAGGGAACAAACAGGAGGAGCAGAGAAGGGAAAAGAGATCCAGTCATCTCACTTTAACAGCAGGTCTAAAGCTTCGAAAGGCAAGAGAGCGGAAATGCTGGTTCAAGTGGCTGAGTGGACACCTTTAGAATAGGTGATAATATAATTCAAGTCTGGACTAGGGTTGAGGTATCTAGTTAACAGCACTCTCCATACTCTTGCTCTCAACTAAATCATCTCTCTTCAGCCACTTTCAGGACAAGTGCAATAGTCTTAAAAGCCGTGTTTGTCACAGTTCACACTGCTGCAAATATTAGACCTTGGGAGGCGGGTAGCATTTTGCTGCTGCATTTGACTGGATTTCTAAACTGCTTTGAGAGTGTGGTTGTGGTTGTTGTTTTTACAATCAAGTGTATATAAATAAACCACACATAAGGCTGAGTATTTTGGAAAAGTTCTGTTTGAATTACCACATAGACAACACCATCAGGTATTTGGTCCATGAAGACAAGCTGGGTCTGCTAACTCGTAAAATGCTGGCACAAACCTTTTGTGCCCCAAACCCAGCCTCTGACTCTGCTTCTCACTTGCCTCAGATTCACCCATCTTCTGCATTGTGAAAGAACTAGAATTGTTTGGAAGCTTCCCATCAATTAAGGAGCAAACTAATGTGTGAAAAGCTTGTTTCAGTTTATGCAAACTTGTTTCTGAAGTCCATGAAGCTCAAAGTTCCAAATGGGAAGCTCTGGGTTTTTCAGGCATTAATTCTGGTTATAGAAATAAACATGAGACCTAGGTTAGTATATTCAGTGATGAATTATTTCATGGGGTAGTGATATAAATTAGCTTGGGATAGCTAATTCTTGTCTACAATTATTATAAGCAATTGCAACCTTTTGGTATGCATGGTACTTAGAAGCAAATCCCACTGAGTCTATGGGACCTACTCCCAGGTAAGTGTACATAGGAGTGCACATACTTTTAAGTGGTGATCAAGCTGAACTCTCCAGTAGTAAAAGTTGTAACAATATCCAGTTTTATTGCTACTTCATAGTTACATTATAGGGGTATTTATTTCTGAGCTTTTTTCTCTTAAAAATTGAGTTCCTTCTGTTGCTGCATGATGATGCTTATGTCTGCATACTGTTTCTAATCCCAGATAATAAAACCCTCCTGTTTATTATGGTGATTGTTTCAAGTTTCAGTTTTTTTATTTCCTCATTTCTTTCTAAGTGGAAAACCTAAGAGTTGTATAACTTAAGATGCAGCAGCTTGCAGTTTCATCTCTAACACACAGCATTTGTATTGCATGTTTGAATAAAACATATCTGCGCTTCATTCATGTTCCCAAAATAGCAAAGCAAATTTAGGTTTGGATAAGTAAACATTGCATATTCCATGGTTCAAAACTTCTGAATTCCCCTATCTGCATTACATATTGCCAGTATGGAAACTGCTGAAGAAAAACGTTGATCCATCTTTAAAGCAAAATACTGGTGGATCCTCCATGTCTTCCTGTATCAATCTGGCAATGGATTGGGAGTCTCTCTCTCTCTCTCTCTCTTGCTCCATGTCCCATGATCCACATTGGCTTGCATCATTCACTTATTTTTCAGGAGCTGGGTAGGTGGAAGGAGGACAGTCTCCAGTTCCCAGCCCCTTTTTTGTGTGAGAGCCATGCATTGCCATATTGTGGCCCAGAGGTGGCTGCTGGGTCCTGAGTGGGAAAAGAACACACAGGCCCCATTATGCTGCATTAGAGTAAGGCTTGCAGTGTCAAACATTACAAGGTATTTTAAAAGCTGCTTTTTAGGTTTAAGGCTAACCTTCCAAAGAAATGAGAGCTGTAATGGCCAACATCAGATCAGTGTATTCATGAGAATGCAGCCAGTGCTATATCCCCCACACAGAGGACATTTCCACCCACCCTGGCAGCAAAACACCTGCCATGTGTTATTCTGCTAACCATGAAGCCCCGAGCCAGTCCAGGCAATGTGAATGTGATCCATTTCAGTTAGGGTTTAGGCCCAACTTTGGCACAAAAACTGCTTTGGTGGCCCTGTATGATGATCTCTGTCAGAAGAGAGAGGAAATGTGCCTCTTCTCCTTGTCCTGTCTGCGGCTTTCAATGCTATCAGCCATGGTATCCTCCTGGAGTGGCTGTCCAAGTTACTGGTGGTTGGCACCGCTTTCTGCATGATCATTTCCAGAGGGTGATGCTTGGGGAGTGCTCTTCGGCACTGTGGAGCCTTCAGTGCGGGGTTCCTCAGGGTTCGATTTTATCCCCCATGCTACATGAAGCAGCTGAGGGGTTATCTGGAGTTTCGGAGTATGCTATCATCAATATATGTGGAGGACACACAGCTGTATCCCTTTACATCTGCAGGTGAGGCAGTGGATGTGCTGCATTGTTGTCATGCCTTGGTAATGGCCTGGATGAGAGCCAACAAACTGAAGCTTAATCCCGATAAGACTGAGGCACTGTTAGTGGGCAGTTCCCTGGACCAGATGGATGGGAGGTTGCCTGCTCTTGAGGGAGTTTAACTCCCTGTAAAGGAGCCGATGCACAACTTGAGGGTGCTTCTAGATCCATTGCTGTCACTTGAGGCTCAAGTGGTCTCAGTTGCACAGAGTGCCTTAGAATTGTAGAGTTGGAAGGGACCCTGAGGGTAATCTAGTCCAACCCCCTGCAATGCTGGAATATGTAGGTGTCCCATATGAGGATCAAACCCAGGACCTTGGCATTAGCAGCACCATGCTCTAACCATCAGCTTAGACTGGTGGCCCAGCTGCACCCCTGTCTGGACAGGAATAGCCTAAGTTCAGTTGATTATGCTCTGGTAACCTCTAGGTTAGATTACTGCAATGTGTTATAGGCAGGGCTGCCTCTGAAGATGGTTCGAAAATGTCAGTGGGCACAGAATTCAGGAGTCAGGTTGTTCACCAGGACAATATGTTTTGAGCACATAACACTGATCCTTTCCCAACTACCAGTAAGCTTCCAGGCCCAATTCAAAGTGCTGGTTTTGACCTATAACGCCTTAAAAACTACTCAGGACCTCAATGATATGAATTTCTGATATGAACTGAGGCCCTTTGTGTGCCTCCTTTGTGAGAGGCCCAGAGGGTGGCAACATGAGAAGTGGCCTTTTCTGTAGAGGCTCCCCCTTTATGTTTTGTGCCTTCGTTACTGTTAAGTTGTGGGTGAACATATCAGACGACACAGCGATTCTTCAAACAGCTCTTGTTTATTCACAGGCCAGAACAGAACTGAAGGGTTCAGCCAGCCTGCTTATATAGAGCTCCACTACAACACAACAGTAACTACTTTCTGTAACTATCCAATCACTGAACGTCACTTTCAAACTCTTATTTGCATATGTGGACCTGAGTGAAAACTACAGTATTCCCCTGCTGGCCCAGGGTGAAAACTTCAGTACATAACACTTACAGATTACTAGGTGCCAGGCAAAAACATTCCTCTTCTCCCAGGCCTTTGGCTGATTGATCCAAGGTCTTTAAAAATCTGTTGGGGGGTGTTATTGTATTTTGTTTACTGCTATGTTACGTCCTATTCTGCTATAAACTGCCCTGTAAGCCTAAAATGAAGGGCGGTACAGAAATTCAATTTAACTAAATAAATGTGGGCATAGTGTTGGTATTGACATGCCCCCCGCTTCGCCCGCAAACTCAGACAGGGAGGCGGGAGAGTACAGCGCTTCCTGCGCGAACGGTCTCCTGGCAGACATAGAGTTCCCGCTCCCCCCCCCCCCTCCGCCCTGCATCGGCGCGGAAGAAGAGGAGATCAGGCGAGGCGGAGGTTGGATAGTAAAAGCGGCCGGCAGGCAAAGAGTTAATCAGCGCCTCCGCCCCTCTTCCCGCTGGCTCACCAGCAAGCAGAAGAAGCCCGCAGAAGGGGCGGGGCCGCTCCGCCCTCACTTCCGGACGGCAGGGGGCGGGGCCACATCGCCGCCGCACATGCGCTCTCGGAGAGCCTGCCGGGACAGCGGCCCGGAGGGGACGCCTTTCGAGAGCGGACCTTCCGGCGCGCAGCCAGGATGGCGGCGGAGGGCTCCTGCGAGCTGCCGGTGGTGCCGGCGGCAGGGCTTGGCCTGTCCGGGGCTCCCTCCGCCTCCTGCCGGCGCTGCAGCAGCAGCTCCAGTTCGTCGTCGTCGTCCTTCTCTTCGCCTTCGTCGTCGTCCTCGTCGTCGTGCGGGGGCTGCCTCGCTCCCCCGGCCCCTCCCGTCGCGGGCGGCGTGCCCGGGAAATGGGTCCGGCTGAACGTGGGCGGCACCTGCTTCCTCACCACCCGGCAGACGCTCTGCAGGGACCCCAAAAGCTTCCTTTTCCGCCTCTGCCAGGCCGACCCGGACCTCGACTCCGACAAGGTGAGGGGGTGCCGCCGCCGCATTCTGCAGGTGCTCCGGGGACAGGCCGGGCGAGGACCCCATAGCTTGGCCGCCCCACTGCGGGCACTAGGCTGGAGGGCCCCCGCTTTGCTGTCCCGGTTCCTCCCGGAGTGCCGGGCTCTGCGTGAGAAAGCCGCTCAGGCCACCCGTGTCAGCTGCTCCGTCGTTACCGTGAAAGAGGCGCCCACCGTCAGGTTCCCGCTCTTTTCTGGTCGGTTACCCGGGAGGTTGGCCGCCTTTTCTCCCGCATCTAGGCAGGCAACTTTTAAGTGTTGAGCATGTATAATTAGTATGCATTGAGCACAGTAGGACTTGCTTCCGAGGAAACACGCATAGGGTTACACTGCGAGTTCACGAGGGATCCACATTTGTCTTGAGCAGAGGGTGTGGAGCAACGGGGTTGAAGGGAGATCTCAGTGCCAGCTCAAAGCATCATGCTGCCTGACGTGGAGCACCAGCCGTAGCCCCCTTTCTATAAAAGGAACCCTTCCTATGCCTGTGCAATGCTGCTGGGCATGCTGCTGGTCCCTAGGCATACTGCAAGTGAGAGACTCCAGTACTGAAGTGCTGGGCCCCACCAAAGCCCACAAGTCTTGAAAATGTGAGAAGTTTTCAGTTTATCAGAACTCACTAGCAAGCAAGATATTAACACAAAGGAAGGTTTTATGAGGGAAAATCAAACCCAAATATAGTTGATGTGGCCAGCTGGTTGGTGTCGGTTCCAGCTTGGAGATCCAGGCCAAACGGGTCCATCCTAGGGGCTACATGAACCAGGTGACCCACCTGGGATTATGTCCTCATGATTTGAGAAAATAAAGCCTGACTTGTAACCCTAACTTTTCTAACACCCTAGACAAAAGACAGATTTCTTAGGCAGAACAGATGTAACAAGACATGGTAGTATTATTTCACTTGTAAATCTAGGAGGGCCATCAAAGGTTATCTGATCCAACTTACTGTTGATGTAGAAAATCAGCTTTGGGAAAGAGACTGTATTTCTTGAGAGTCACTCTAAAAGGCTTGTTCAAAACAGCTTTGTCTCCGGGCTTCTTTTAGTAGATTGAAGGTTCTCTTGTTTTACCCAGGGGGGACCTATGATTCTCCAAATGCTGGTGGACTCTGACTTCCATCATCCATGGCTGGCAGCAGGAGCTAATGGGGGTTGGAGTCCAACAACATCTGCAGAGCACCAGATTAGCAAAGGCTGCTCTAGACTCTGCATACCTGGGTTCTGGGCATCTCCAGGCCTTGACTTCTCTTCACCAGACAGGTTCCTCTTCTCTGGGGCAGGGATGCCAACTTGAATCAAATATTTGGGGAGGGGGGCAGGTAAGCTCCAGTCCACATAACTGATCACATGATGCAGTGTAATACACCATTTGAATGGCAATGCCCATCAACTTTAGCCCCCCCCCCAAATATATTTTATTGGGGAGGCCGAAGAAGACCTTGGCCCCTAGAAGTTGGCTCCTTTTCTCTGGAGTAAAGTTGTTATTCTCTGTTCTGGTTGGACTCAGAGATGAAGGCAACATGCAGAAAGTCTGCTCCCAACAGACTAACTCAGGAATAGCTAACTTGGTGTCCTCCTTATGTTGGACTGTGACATGCTTCAGCGCCAGCCAGCATGACAAATGGTCAGGGAAGGTGGGAGTTGTAGTTCAGCAACAACTGGAAGGCACCATGTTGGTTGCTCCTGGACTTGAATAAGGAAACTTCAAAGGGGTTGTGAAACTTGGATTTTAAGCTTTAATGCAAATGTGACACCTCTTTTTGCATTTTATTTCCATATGATCTCACTGTTTGTATTTCTTTCTCTACACCTATGTAGCAATGGCATGCAATGTATCTGATGAGGTAGATGCTAGTCCATAAAAGCTTACAGTCTTCATAGTGTCCATGGCTGCTTAGTTAATTGTTAAGTGTGCCTTGGCAGTGGTCAGATTGCACTCCAGTCCTGAAAGATTCACTTGGCATATAGCTTAAACTTGCTTTTAATGACTCAAGTGAGCTGCCTCTCCTTGCCCTTTAGTTCCTGATAACGCCCCTTGTGTATTGCCTCAGAGTGCAAGTCTGAACTTGCCTAGATCATGTTGTTTATCGATGCTGGTTCTTACTTAACTTTTTAAATATTCATTGAAAAAATAGAGTAGCTACTTTCATAAACAGTGGGCATACACTAAGAAAATCAGACTGTCAAAACAGCTGTCTCCCAGTATGTCTTGCCATACTTGCTCATGAGACAGTTGTAGGAGGGGGAGAGAGACCACCTTTCAGGTTGCTCCTACTGGCATAAGTACTGCCAAGCAAAAAACAATTTCTCATGTCAATATGATCCTAGTATGTCAGTTTCTCAGATAAGCTATTTCCACAGTTTCCCCCCCCCCACACTGTAGTCTTTTCCATTGCTTGGCTAATTCTAGCCACACTACCACAAGCATAATAGTAATCAGATCCTTATGGAGCAAATATTTATTAGGTCAGTTGAGTAAGCTCAGCAGTGCAAGATTACAGTCTACTCAGATTTGTTTTCTGATATGAATAGAGCTGTGCTCTTGATTGTGCTCTTTAATCATGGGGTCAGCAAAATCCAGTGCTGCTGGACCTCACATTGTACACCTCTGTGCCAAACTCTGCTTTCTAACTTTAGAACTGTGTCAAGCCTGTAATGAAGTGGGGGAAAGAGCTGGATAGATTCTCATGGATCCATGGTTTTTACATGAAGGTGCCTCAAATCCACTATCAAACCAATGCTTATATCTTTGTCCATGGGCTGCTCCATAAAATCACAGTTCATCATGGTGCCAAAAATTAGACCCATGGTAAAACTCATTCGGGACGCGGGTGGCGCTGTGGGTAAAAGCCTCAGCGCCTAGGGCTTGCCGATCGAAAGGTTGGCGGTTCGAATCCCCGTGGCGGGGTGCGCTCCCGTTGCTCGGTCCCAGCTCCTGCCAACCTAGCAGTTCGAAAGCACCCCCGGGTGCAAGTAGATAAATAGGGACCGCTTTCTAGCGGGAAGGTAAACGGTGTTTCCGTGTGCGGCTCTGGCTCGCCAGAGCAGCGATGTCACGCTGGCCACGTGACCCAGAAGTGTCTCCGGACAGCGCTGGCCCCCGGCCTCTTGAGTGAGATGGGCGCACAACCCCAGAGTCTGGCAAGACTGGCCCGTACGGTCAGGGGTACCTTTACCTTTACCTTTAAAACTCATTCAGTTCCAAGAAAAGCCATTTCCAGGTTTCATGTTTTTGCTAGTGGTGCAAAGACTCACCAGAATTGTGAGTTTTGCAATGCAGATGTTGCATACTTAGAGAGATAATTTGCATCCTCAAAACCCATCCATCCACAAGTAGGCTGTATATTTATTGTAAGATACCAATCAATGCAACAGGACCTGGATCCTTCAGTGTGGATCTTCACAGCATGGACTGAGAGCACCAAAAAATTTATTGGCCTGAAGTTTGCAACAAGAATGCAAAAGACCTTGTAGCATCGTGCTACGAATATTGTATGTTATGTCCTGGAAGTACCAGAACAGACACTGAATTGGTAAGCCATGAATGTCCAGAGTGGGATTTGAGATTACATTTAATCATTAAATGGATCCATCAGGATCTGGCCATCAGAAATGGGCTGTGTACAGCAACAAGAAGCTGATTTTTGTAGTGAGTAACCAGAGGAGTGAACTATAATGATAAGACAAAGGTGGTCAAGGGTTCTATTTGTAAAAAAAATGATGTATGAAGATCAGTGCTTCTTCATTCCCAGTTTTTTTGCATCACGTAGTATTAGTTTTACAATTTTATAATGTTCATTGTCTTTTGATAGTGAATTTGGGGCATTTTCATGTAAAACTGTTGTCTGATGTTTCTCTGTATTCCTGTGGGCATTTATTAAAAATACTTATATACAGTACCACTATTTTATAGGAAAAAAATCAAAGCAGTTTACAATAATGCATAAAACTATACAATCAAAACCATAAAAATTTAAAATCAGATATCAGTTAATTGTCATGGTATTAGATGTGGACTGTGATTATGCAGTGAATTTTGAGTTTCTCTATTTTAAAAACGCTGGGCTTCGTTTCCTGAGAACTACCATTCTGGCCCCTGTAGAACCGAAAGATAGTGACTATTATGTTTTCAATACAATCAGTGGGGATGGATGCAGGTTGTGAGTAGCTGGTAGATTTTTGTGACCTGCTTTCTAAGAATCAAGAGGATCCATGCCTAGAATCTAGGTTTTTGCAGTATGGTAATATTCCAAAACACTGGATCTATGATCTTTGTAGTGCATTCTGCCTCCATATTTATTTATTGTTGGATTCCTCCTTTCAGAGTAAAAACTCCAAATGTGGTTTCCATAGAAGCAGTAGCATACAATACATAAAAAGAGCCCATCTGGTCCAGCACACTGGGCTCACCAGGTGCTCAAATGAATAGGCCACAAACACGACCTGAACACAGCAGCAGCAGCAGCAGCACTCTCCCTTTTGGGTTTCCCTCCAACTGAGCTTCAGAGACATAGCACCTCTGACAGTGGAGGTGGAGCATAGCCATTGTGGCTAGTAGCCATTGGTTGCCATATCTTCCATGAATTTCTCTGATCCTTTTTAAAAGCCGTTCAAGTTAGTGGTCATCACTACTTCTTGCAGGAGTAAATTCTGTAGTTTAACTATGTGCTGTGTAAAGAAGTCCTTCCTTTTTTCTTTTTAAAAAATCCTAGTGGAAATTCAGTTCTTGTGATTTCCTTTATTTTAGTGTTGTTTTTGCATTTTCACTTTTATTTATTATTGTCACAACATCCATATTTCTATATCAAGGAAAAATGTCTGTTCTAAATCTTCAAAAGTTCAACCTGTTGTGTGGCCCTGAGTCTTGAGGGAGGGAGAGGTTTCTGTACACCATGCATAATTTTATACACTTCTGCCATGTTCCCCCCCAACTCATTTCCCCCCTCTAAATATTATAAATTGCAAATATTGAAGCCAGTGTAATAAAAACAAATAATATCAGGGCAAATTTAATAATTGGAACCACCCCTATGGGAAAGCACAATAACAAAATTATCATTCAGGAAAATGTTGTGAGCCTTGATTGGATGGTGAATTTTTGTGTTCAGCTCATAAAAATAATGTGAATTCAAAGGGCTCTGGCAACCTTCTACAAAATCTTATTTCTGTACAGGTGTGTAACAAAATACCTTTTAAGCCCCTTGGATGTTTTATTAAACAGCCACTCTGCTTGACAGGAGGAGGAGATTTTTGCTGATTTCCTGTTCGGTTCCTTTTGCCTTCCAAAAATCTGCTCCAGATGGTTGAGGGACCCACGAGAACCTTTGGGTAGCGGAGATTGCTGGGGTCTGCAGGGAGAATTGGAGAAAGCCCTCTTCCTGCAATGGATACCTCAACTCAGTCAGAGCGCATTTTATGAACTGTAGGGACCATTCATTACATTTCTAAGCCTGGATCTAACCCAGAGATTTGAGGGCTTTATTGCTTTGGTTGCAATTTTAGGTTTATTATTTAGTATAAAGATCATAACTACTGGTTGAATAAAATGGATGGTTCTCATTTGGATAAACGTTATTAAGCTTTTCTTGCCCCACATTAATATTGATTGTCATTTGAGCCAAATTATTAATTTTCACAATCCCTTGTGGTAATTGATTAGAGATTAGAAACCAGTTGAGTAGTAGCTCTGTTTCACAATTAAGACCTCCATACTGAAGCTCTGATTATTCATTAATGCGGTGCACTGAATCCATGGTGGAAACTTCTGGTTTATGACATGGATGAGGGTATGTCAGGGTTGGAATGTCAGGATCTCTGTGGGGTCTCACACTAATTTAATCTGGTATTTTAATTTAGTTGGCTGATCTGGGAATAGGATGGTTTAAGTGTGATAAGACAATTTCTATATAAATAAGTAACACACATATTTTAATTAGGATGAAACAGGTGCCTACTTAATAGACAGAGATCCAACCTACTTTGGACCGGTGTTGAATTATCTCCGACACGGGAAACTGGTTATCAATAAAGACCTCGCAGAGGAAGGTATGTTTTGCTGTTTAGGAAAACTGCTTTAATGTTTGATCACAGCTGTGAAAAATCACTTTGGGTGTACAGTAATTGGTTTCACATATGCAAAGCATGGCAGCCTGTTTGGGCTGGGCTAGTTTGTAGCATTGCTCTGCAACTTGCAGTGGCCTTCAGATCTTGAGACCTGAATGATCCTTTAGATACCAGGTTCCAGCACCTGAAGTGCTGTGAGGTCACTGTTTTGGGGAGGTTGTTGGCTGGTGCGTGACCTTCCTGGAACACTCTCCTTACTCCTGGGCTTTCTCTTTCTGCTTTGGTCTTGGAGCAGAGGCCCTGCCTCATCCTGACCAGGGCAGTGCTTCAGAGGGACAGTCTGCCGCTTGGCCATGCAGTGCCTCTCAGGGCCTGTTTGTGACACAGACTTTCTCACAAGTAGCTGGAGTTTTACGAGGCCCTCTTTTGACTTTGTGTTCCCCTCCAATCAGGTGTGCTTGAAGAAGCTGAATTCTACAACATCACATCCTTAATCAAACTTGTAAAGGACAAAATAAGGGAACGAGACAGCAAAATCTCACAGGTAGGACTTGCTAGTTTTTTTAAAAAATTGATTTGTTTTTGAGGTAGCCTTGGCTTGACTTCATTTCAGAATGTGTGCTGTGTTTGGTGCCCAAACTGAGGGAATTATGAGAAGTGGCTTCTGGTGGTATCAGATGCCCTTTTTCCTTCCGTGAGTGAAATGTTTGTGCTTGTGGCAATGCCAAAAGGGAGGAGGGCAGTAGAGAGATCTCAGCAGAGGCTGAGGCAAGTGGCTTTTTTGCACTCTGGAGCTCAGTGGTAACAGAGAAGGGACTCATTTGGAAGACATGATGGTTGAAACCAGTGGCCATTCTTGGCCTGCTTCATCTTTCAGCTGTCTCTGTGTTTTTCACCAAAGGTGCCAGTCAAGCACGTTTACAGGGTGCTGCAGTGCCAGGAAGAGGAGTTGACTCAGATGGTCTCCACCATGTCTGATGGCTGGAAATTTGAGCAGGTAAGAGAACGGGAAGCAAACACTTCAATCTTTCAAGGACCATACAAACAAACAAAAAAGCAGGCGAGAGGAGTGTGAGGATTGGAATAATTGTGGGTGTTGTGGGCTTGGGTCCTGGAATGGTCAGGAAACTCAGACAAATGTTTGTACTTTTACAGCAGTTTGCCTGGTTGCTCAAAGTGCGTCACATATTAACTCTAGTTGTTTCTTAAAGTAACTCTGTAGAGAAGGACAATATCATTATTTCCCTACTGGGAATAAGCCTTTGGATGTGCCACTGAGCTTGTGCCTTAGGAGATGCTTGATTTGCAGCTTATACTCTCAGCCTGAGTTGCACCTTCTTGGCATTTCAATGGGAAATCACACAGCAGGCACGAAGCACTTCTTTCCTCCAGCACTGTGCCATGTGGCCATTTCAAGGCAAAGATCCATTTGCTCCACTTTTTATGTAGAGAGCTCTTGGAAACATAGTCCTCTGGGATTAACTCTGGTGGTGATATGAACACTGTTACACACACAAAAAACAGCTAAAAATTAGAAATTCTTGTAACTAGGCTCTAAACTGTAGCCATGTAGTTATGTTTGTCCACCAAGATGCCATGTCAGTGCCAGTGCTTCAGATCCTGCCATCAGTATTGCAGTACTGATCAGATCACTGGTATTTGTTTGTACAAGCACCACAGCTCTCTGTGGTGGAAGATTCTCAGTTAATGGAGATTTGGAGAGCAGGAGGAATCAAGCAAAATCTTTTTGGCTCAGAACTGTCCCTCAACAGGCACTAGCTCTCCAAGAGCAAAGAAGAGTGTGGAATCCCCACAACTCTGTCTCTGGGCCTGTATTTTGTACATCCATTGTGGATGGCTCTAGGCCTGCAGTCTTCCTTCTGTGCAACATTCTAGGAGTTTCACAGCTGTGTGTTTACACAGTCAGTGCTCTGTGTGGTCAGGATTGCTTACACTCCCTGTGAAACACTGACGCCTCCTATCTGCACAATGCCACACTCTCCTGCCTGAGCATGAATTATAGGAAGGGACAGGGGCCACTCTTAATGTTAGATGCCCCTTGTGGGAACAGGAAGGAGAGAGCTCCACCTTTATTTAATAGCCCAGAATGTTGACTGTCAGAGCTTTGGTTGTAATCCCTTATTAAGTTCTGTCTGAAGCACAAGAACAGCCCCCCTCAGTTGTCTCTCTTTCCCACCTCCAGCTAGTCAGCATTGGATCTTCCTATAACTATGGGAATGAAGACCAGGCCGAATTCCTTTGTGTTGTTTCCAAGGAGCTGCACAACACCCCTTATGGCACGGCCAGTGAGCCCAGCGAAAAGGCAAAGGTGAGTCATCTTCAGGGTGGAGCAAGGCCCAGCTGCTGCCTTCCTCTGCCATCAAAGGTTGTTTGCCAGTTGCTACTAAGAAAGCAGCTTGCTTGGGTATCCTCTGCCCACCCTTTCTCATGTGTCCAAGCACAAGACACACATGAGCACACTGAGCAGTTGTGGAAAAAGGAAGCTCCAACATCACACCTCTTCTGCAGGAGCTACAGTAAACCAGCCTTGGGTGTGATAGAGCACAGAGGTGCCTTCATAAGCCATTTTAGGCTTCTGTCCATTTTATTGCTGGTGCTGTTAAACTCAGCTGTATGAAGACACCCTGCCCCACACAAAAGGAATCTCTAATGGTTATGGATGTCTAATCCCCAAACACCCAACTCCCAGAGAGCAGCAAAACCTTTTTCTGGAAAATGACAGGTGCTATTCTAGGTGCGCCTGCATGTGGGTGCAACCCAAAAAACACAGACGCACCCACCAACACGGAAACCTTCATTTGTTGCAACCAAAAAATAAAGGCATATAAATCACATTGCAGTGTCAAGGCTAATTTATGTATGCCAACACAGGCATACCTTGTTGGCCTGAATATAAGCCACACTCCCCCCCCCCCCAAATTCCAACCGTGAAAAGTGTGGCTTATATTTGTGACCTTACGGTATGCAGCCAGGAGTGCGAGGCAAACAGCGGCAGGAATGTGGAAAAGTAGTGCCTGCCCTGCACGTAGTTCCCCGTCTTCTCCCCCAAGACCAGGAAGGGAGAGAACGAGGCAGGGGAAAGGTGCCGGCAATGCAGCGCAGCTCCCCCCAGCCCAGTATGCAACCAAAAGCAGCGAGGATGCGAGCGGCTTATATTCAAGTATATTTTCTTTTTCCCCCTCCAGTTTTAAAGGTGCATCTTATATTTGGGTGCAGCTTATATTTGGGCCAATATGGTATATAGACTTGCAGGTGCTTTTGATTATGATTCTAACACACCCATAACTCTAAGCTGGAGAATTTAAGATGCCCTGTGTTGGGAGAAGGAAAGGTAGGGAATCCCATGACTTCAAGGTTCTCTTTCTCTCCAGTTTCCAACTTGAGGTACCCAAAGTTTCATGGCCTTAAATCCAGCAAAAGCTTTCCTTGTGAGTGCAGGGTGAAAGAGGCAAAGTGGAGCTCTGAGGAATTGCCCCCACCTACACAATTCAAAGACTCGCTACTGAAATACACTTTTAGTGAAACTTGATCAATAATGTCAATGATATTCTTACTTTTGAGCAAGTGGTGAGAGTCCGGTGTGTGGCTAACATCTCCTGTCCTGGGGCCAACGTGGAGCCCAATTCTGGCTGTCTTAGCCCCCCTGAGTTAAACAATCCCTTGATCTACTCCTAGCTTTTCCATAAATCATGGCGAGAAATTTCCCTCTGGCCTGAGAAAGCACTCTGCCGACAGGACTATAATTAGAGGCCCTGCCCTTGGTTGCCAGTGTTATTGTCTGGCTGCTCTGCTGCGGTTAAAATCAGGATGTCTGCGTTCATGTCATGGGGCATCCAGTAGAGACAAAGGGGCATATGTCCTAAGATTCATCAGGCCTATGCCAGGCTACAGTCGACTGAGATGAACCAAGGTTCTGGTGTCATACCATCCTTGCATAATTGTTAATTAACACAGTTGTGCCATGGGCATAAGTTAATGCCAGCCCTCTCTGCACATTTTTCATTGAGTTTTCAACATAAAATACAATGAAAGCAAACTAATCAAAAGAAGATAAATAGGCACACAAAAGAAGACAATAAAGAAGTAGAAAGAGATGAGGAGAAGAAGAAGAAGAAAAAAGGTTCTCTATCATAATTGTATCTTAACCTTTAGTCCACACACAAACGGGTGAACCCTCCCAGCTCTTACATGGGAGCTTCCCCCTCTTCCCCCAGCCTCCCTTGCTGAGAGATCCTCTCTGCGCTGGGCCCTTCATCTTCCATCCATCTGCACCTTTTTAAATGAAGCTGCTGCTGCTGCTGTTGTCCAAGAAGCTGGCAAACAGTGTGCCAGGCAGCTTGGAAGCAAATGTGCGATTTCTGTCTCACTGTCCTATTTCACTCTCTACCTTATGCTTTCCCTTGGCCTTTGGCTTTGTAAACAGCCAGCCAGATTGTAGAGTGATTGTTTCTGAAGGTGCAAATGATGTGCCAGATGCTATAGTGATGTTCAGAAAGATCTAAGCTTCAAGATCCTTGCATGAACTCCTGAATTAATGAAGAGGGCACAGATAGAAGGCAAGGTCTTTTGTGTTCATCTGGCACTCTTGCATTGTGTGGCATTTGCATGCTAGAGAGAAGTGGCCATGCTGGGATTTGTGCCTGTTGAGAAGGAGGAAGATGATGTTGGAGTTGGGTGAATTAGTAAAGGTGCAGGGCAGAGCCCGCAGACACAAGGAAGCCCAGCTTCTTGCATCTTCACTATGACTTCCAGTCATAGTTCAACAAGACCTCTGGCACACGAGGTGGAATCCAGGTGTCCTTGCAGGCATGAGTGCTCTCCAGCTCACACCCTGCAGAGCAGCTGCTAACCAGCTAAGAAACTGTTTGGATGTTTATCAGGAAAGGTTGTATGAGGGTGGGGTGATGGTGGCTGGGACACAGGGCAAAGGGACAGTTCTTTTGAAGAGAGAGGTAGCTCTTATGCACATCCTTAAGAGTTTGCTTTTAAATATATCAACAAAAAAACAACTCGGGCTCCCATGCCCAATTAAATCTTGATTAACCAAAAAAAAGTTGGTTGGGGGAAGTTAGACAAAAGGAAGAGGGAATATGGAATTACAGCATCTGAGCCAGACACCCTGAAAGTTACTAAACTGCTTTCACATGAAAGCACATAAATTAGAAATACTGTTTTTGGTCTGTGGACGAAAGTTCAATTTCCAGTGTTTCCAGACTAGTAATGTTTAGCCACCAAAAGGTGGGATTTGACCGTAAACTATTTGCCTCTTCTGGATGTGAAACCTATGGGATGGTAACCAGTGACTTACTCTAGTGCAAGGTGAGACACTCTGTTTTCAACACACCCACCTATTGCAGCCCTGTGCGCCCTGTCCCTTGCTGTGCCAGAGGGTCCTTGACACTGGATATGGGTGTTTTGCTGCTGCTTGGCAGCTTGACAGCTGTTTTCAGTGGTGGTTTGCCCTCTTCACACTGTGGTGGCTTTTTCCTTGCGTTGTAGCTACTCTTCCAGCGATTGACTGGCTGGCTGGCTGCACTGTTGGATTGCTTCTGGGATCAACTCGCAGAAGACTCTTCTGGGTCACCCTTCACAATTCAGGGGCTGGCTTGGCAAGAAGTCTCTTGCTAAGACAAATCCAGGCCAGACTTTTCCGGATCTCTTTCCTGGATCTCCTTGTGTAGGGCAGCTGTTGAAGTGAATGGGCCAGTTGTCCAAAGATCACCAAGCAGAAGCCTTGAATCCTCTCTCAGGCAGCCTGGGGATGATTGTACTTTACTCACCTTGCACTCTTTTCTTTTCCTTTCCTTCCTGCTCTTTGCACTTGCTTCATGAAACTCAGAGTGAAGACGAAGAGACGGATTACGATATGAATGACTCAGATTAAGTGTGAATGCCATGGTGAGCACTAGGACTTCACCCACCTGCCTGTCCTCCCTCTGGCCTCTCCCACTGGTGCATCTTGTTTTGTGTTTGTAGTTGCTGCCTTGACCCCGTTGCCGGGTAGCCGTAGGCCCCTAGACTGCCTAGTGGTCCACTTGTGTGTTGGCTCCTTTACTTCCTGCTGCTGTTGGTCCTCTTCAGAGGAAATGTGTTTTTGTGGCTCTTCTCACAGGGAGGAAAGCAAGACTCCACCAGGGAACCCGTCTGCTTTTCACTTTAGAAAACCAGGGGAAGGTAGGGGCCAAAAGGTCTGAGCCAGGTTGCCTTCCTGTGATGGCCACAGACTTTGGGTTGCTTGCTCTTTTCTTTTTTTAACTAGTACGCCTTCAGGAATTCCAGATTGCATGCCATGAAACATTGTCTTCAATCAGATGTCTACAATTGCTTTCTCTTTGAGTTTGTGTGCATCTCATCTGCTATGAGAGCAGGAAAGAACTCTGTGTTTGTGGAGAAAGTGGATAGAGTTTCTTTCTCCTCCTAATACTAGAATTCAGAGGGGTCATCAAGGAAGCTGCATGCTGGAAGATTTGGAATAGAGAAAAGCAAGTGCTTCCTAACACAGTGCACACTCCTGCAAAATGATGGCTTTGAAAGAGGATTAGACAGATTTATGGAGGAGGAGACTGTAGATAGCTATGAGGTCCATAGCCAGTATTGGAGGCAGTTGTTGGGGAGTGTAAGTGGGCAGATGGTGCACCTGTTGCACCGATATTCTGCTTGTGAGCTTCACAGTGGTTGACCACTGTGATAACAGGATAGTGGACTAGATCCAGTAGGTTCATTCCAAGAAGAGTCTCCTGCTCAAAAATAATCTTGGTTCTTTTCTTTCTGGAGGGAACAGCCTCATGTTTGCAGGCCAGCCTCAAGACTGGTCTAACGATTCAAAAAGAGCAGAAGGATTGTCACCATGGCTGCCAGAGCTGTAGCAGAAAGTTGGTCTGGTTCTTTTGCTGAGTGAGCAGACTACAAGTGTGTACACCTTCCCTGTTTTGCCATGATGAAAGGAGAAAGAGGTGGGGAGAAGGGTGCCAGGAGTCTGAGTCAGGAGGTGTGAACTTTTCCAATGGCGGCTGTACCTGAAAGCAGCACTGGGATGGGCTGGAAATTGCCTGTGCTTCACACACCCGTAGTGTGCCCCTCCTCCAAGTATATAAAGCCCTGCATTACTGTGTGAGGGACTGGCCTTGAGCTACCTAGTGGATTCCACAATCAAGGTCCTGAGTTGTTTTTAATGCAGCTGATGTGTTGTTGACTCTTATTTCCCTAGCGACAATCTAGTAAAAGCAAGGCATGTTGTGTTTTTCCCTGCTTGCCCTGAGTGGGGATTTGTCCCTGTTCAAGGCCAACACTATCCATTTTCATCAGTGCTGATGCAAAGAGGAGAAACAGGTGAGGATTTTGCAGAGAAGGTCCCTGGAAATTCTTTGGATGAGGAAGAGGCATAGTGGAAACTGCAGGTGTTGCTGGCCAAATGGCGCAGTGCTGAAACATCAACACACACTGTGTTGGCTACAAGGGATATTTTGCCCTGAGATGTTTTGGGTTCCCAGCATGCCAGTGCTATTAAGCAGATACGGGTCTTTAAAAATAATGATGATTCATGTTATTATTTGAACTATCTTATCCTTGCTTGGTGAAGCCAAGGAGTGAGGCTCCTTGATTCTCTGGCAGAGCCACTGCACTGAGTTCTCCTTAGTCCTTGCCCTCCTCAAGCAACACAAATAGTGGCCTGGAATGTGGCTCTTTGAGTGCCCTTCCCAGGTCCTTCAGTTGAGGGCTGAAAAGTACCTCTGATCTGTACTGCACATCCCCAGGCGAGGAGGAAGGCAGCAGCTTGTGGGCAACCGAGGCCACCTGTGAAGTGTCAGAATGCACAGCCTGCCACTGCAACACCTTTATTTCCTGTTCTTGGCCAAGGTGTCTCCAAAGTGACTTGGAGTTTTATGGTGATTTCTTCTGGTAGTTGATGTCATCACCACCCAGGTTCCAGGCAGGGAGGAGGCAGCCAAAAGGGTTCTCCAACCTTGATACAGGGCAAGATACTTAATTGCTGGAAAAATCCACGAAGCCAGGATATTTACATATCTTTCCTTCAGAATGTTAAGTTATACTATGGAATTATTAAATCTAGATCCCAATTGCTGAAAATTTGATAGAGGGACCTTACAATTGTCTAAAAATGTGTTACACATTTCTGCCTCAAAGAGGAGAGTGAAGTGTACCCCCTCCCAATTAAAGTGCATAATCCTTCAGTATTGTATATACGCAAACTAAGACTGATGACTGGACACACCAGAAAGTGGGGTATTTGTACATCTTTCTTTGGAAAAGGCAGACAGGCTGTACTGTATTAGAAACTTTAAATCTAGCACACTCGCTACTGAAGACATCCTCATTGCTTGAAAAACAGTAAAATAAGCACTAAAGGGAGGGCATCAAAACTGGAGCAAAGAACCCAGGCAGGCATGGTTCTGCAGCCTCAGGTTGTGATCTACAACTGTTGTTCATTTGAATTAACCTTTAGGAGGGGAGGGGGATTTCCAGTGGCTGCACCCCTACTTGCAGATTGCATATGTCATACTAATAAATGCTATAGAGTCATAGAATTGTAGAGTTGAACATGGATCTCCAAGGGTCATTTGCTCCAACTCCCTGCAATGCAGGAATCACAGCTGAAGAATCCCTGACAGATGGCCATCCAACCTCTGCTTGAAAACCTCCAAGGAAGAAGAGCCCACACCTTCCGAGGGAGTCCATTCTACTCTCAAACACTTCTTACCACTAACGCTTAGTGAGAACATAATCAGCAAAGCGAGCTGTTGATTGCATAAATGGCCCATTTTTTAATCCACAACTGTTCTTTTCAAACTGGGAGCTGGACCACTCACATACACTGGCCTAGCTGTACAACCTAGCTAGTTTTGTAGGGAATGGGTGAGTCTGGCCTGTTGGCAGTTCCCTTAATTAACTTCCTATGTTTTGAGTAGCAGCTGACTGGCTAGTTCACCATCATGTGCCAAGGTGTCTTGCGTCAGAGAACAAAATCAGCTTGTTTGCCTGTTTTAAGGTTTTGCCTTCAAGAATGCCGGAGTCTTTCCACTGTGTGAGTCTTGCTGGAGAACCTTACCATGCAGAATCTCACCACTTGTTGTTTGTTTCCTTCCAGATCTTGCAGGAGCGAGGTTCAAGGATGTAACTGTGCCCCAGTATTGAATGCTGACAAGTTTTCCTTTGCATTGCCACACGAAGAGGCTTGGCACCAAGAGGATGTCGCTTGTTCAGACCATTTCTGTAGTTCTGGATTTTGAACCCTGAAGGTGGTGCTGCAGCTGGAGCTGGCTGCTTGCAGATGCCTGCCTTCAGCAGCAAGAGGGGTTGTGTTGGCTCTGGTGCCCGGTTGTGCTGATCTTAATCCCATGGAAAGAAGATTTGACTTCACTCTATGCTTTCCTTCCGAAGAGATATAGCGATGCTTTGCTGTTTGTAGGGAAACAATTTGGGTTTTAATAATTGTAGGCAGTTCAAGGTCAACATACTTGGTGCTATGAATAAATTACAGCCCACATGTGGGCACACATCCTTAAGCAGCTCCAGTTGACTGTGGCGGCTGCTGTACATTCCTTGGGGATCTATTGTAAGAATGCACTAGCCCAGACTAAGGGAGGGGTGCATCTTCATCCCCCTCCTGACCCTGCTTGCTTCAGTACCCAGAGGGTATTCTCTTCTTGGGAAGAAGGTCTTATTTTGCCCACATCTCTAGGGAAGCCTTCCTCTCCAGGTAACTTGCTCCTGCAAAGGTTAACCTCCAATTTTAGCTACACTTTAGGATTGAAGCCCCAGTGAAACAAAAATAATACGGCAAATACCTTGCCTTGCACACATGTGTGCACACACGAGAACACACACACACCAAAGTTGCGTTCTTTGTTTTTAGAAATGCCTGCAAGTATTGCTACCCCCGTGGACTCACAGCACTGAAGGTAGACATGGGGGTTGAGTCTTCATGGGTGCTCCATCATGAAGGCTGGGAATGAGAATCTCTGTGCTCAAAAGCATCAGAGTTTGTGCAGCTGAAGGCAGGAATTATTGTGATTCTTTAACAGATGTTTACAGTCATTTCTACATTCTCTTATCTATGCAGTTCCTTCTGATGTTTGGCAAGTACTGTCAATAACACTTGTGGTTTCATTGAGAGAGGCTTGTGGTAAATGTGAAGAAACACAACTGGAGCTTTTTAGTGTACTGTGTTTAAATGAAACCATTAGCATGTCTTTTGAAAATAGGTTTAAAGGAGTATATACAGATCTCTCTGCTTCATAGAGCACAGAGAGGAGCCCTTCCTTGTCTGAGGCTCTCCTAACATGCTACCTATATTTTAACTTTCATTAAGCAACTCACAGAAGCTGTGTGTATACACACCCCTTCCTTTTCCATTCAGATGTGTGGAGTCCTCACAATCTTGAAGCATCCCTTGTCTGCCTGCATTTTTGATCTGGTTTTTGGCAAACCTTTTCTGCCCAGTAGATCAGCAAGTGGGCCATTTGTCTTTTGCCATGGAGACTGGTCTGCACAGAAAGTTGCAAGGCCCTCCTCAACATTGAGTAATCCGTTTGTCTTTTTTAAGATGTTAGCATTGAAATGAATTTACTAAAATGTAATTCTTCTGAAGGGTGAAATGTTTCTACTTTTATACTTTTTTAGGCATCTGTGTTTGATTACCGTAAAGCGAACGCCAATGTGCTAAGAGATCACATTTCGTGTACGTAGAAGGAAATGTTACTGCGAGTGTGTCTGCGTGTGCATTTGTGTGTGCACGCACACATATATGCAGATGCAAAGATGGCTCTTGAATTGGCTGAACAGGCCTTGTTCTCCTTCAGGCCCAACCGTTACTGTGACGCATTCTGCCAGGGCAGCCTGAGTGACTGACTTGAAAGGCCTCCATCTCCAAACAGCCTTTCCTTAAAGGTGGTGCACATGCCTGTCCAGAAACTGCCTTTGAATGTTTTTGCTGTAAGTAGCAAAGGATTTGACTGACACAAATTTCAGGCTTGAGAGGGGGCAGCAGCAAAACATGGTGAATGGAAGGAGGTGGAGCACAGAAGCAGCCACTCTGTCCATCAAGTGGCCAGTGAACGTGTTTGCTGCTTTGGGGTGGGATTTCCCACCTTGTTGCCACTGTCCCCTTATGTCCTTGGAGGAGGGGATTTTTGATGTTCCTCTTGTTCTCCCTCTGACTTTAAAGCCAGAAAGCGTCAGGAGACACTTTGGAAGAGGCTGAAGCCAGCATCTGTCAGGGTGATGATTTTGGCTGCAGGCAAGGTTTTCTCTCTGCATTGGTTTGGCTTCTTACTGAACGCAGAAAAAGTTTTAGCATGTTGAACAGTATGAAATTTAAGTTGCATCCTAGGATTTAACCTTGCAAGTGTGGAATCCTTTTGTATTCTTCATGATTGTGGAATGTGGTCTGTGGTATAAAGCTTAGCATGTTGAGAACCTCAGCTTCCATTGTTGGCTTAAGAAAAAATGCAGGTTTCTTGCCCTCGTGATGGATAATGTAGGCAGTGAGAGGAGAGCTCAGAAAGCAAGTGGGTGCCAGACTGGGCTTTCCTATCCTTTGTGGCTCTGCTTCTGTCTCCCAGAACTGCCACCTCAGGCCTTTTATTCTCTCCTTTTCCCTTTGTTACTTGTCTGTAGGCTCCTGAAACTTGGAAGCCAGGTATCTTTTAAAAATTAGGGGAAGTATTTAAATTGGCACTGCAGAAGATCACTTTCTTTGGTACAAATTTTAGATTGTACCAAAAACCCTATACCATGAAGTGTAGAGGACAGCAGGTAAAGGGCTACCCAGGTGCCTTCTGCTTCTTTGCTCACGTTCTTTAAGGGGAGAGAACAGGTGCTCCTTTCAGCCACTTGCCACTTTCCTCACTTCAGTGGGTTAGTGTCTCTATGCATTATGCAAATTACATCCCCCCCTTGGAGAACTGGATAGATTTCAGCAGCTTAAAAAGGCAAACTCCCATTGCCTGTGGGGCCCTCCTGTCTCTGGACTCCGAAATACTAAAGTGGACACAGACAACTTTTGTTGCACTGCTCAGCTGTAGTTTAGCCTCAGCTTTGCCTTCATTTTACTCAGTTTTTTAAAAGAAATGTCAATTATTTATTTAAAAAGGGGGTGGGGAGAGCAAATGTGAAGTTTCTCATGTAAACAAGGGGCTTGAAGGCCTGCCAGTGTGGTGGTGTGGTTAAGAGCGATAGTCTCGTAATCTGGGGAACCGGCTTCGCGTCTCCGCTCCTCCACATGCAGCTGCTGGGTGACCTTGGGCCAGTCACACTTCTTTGAAGTGTCTCAGCCCCACTCACCTCAAAGAATGTTTGTTGTGGGGGAGGAAGGGAAAGGAGATTGTTAGCCGCTTTGAGACTCCTGAAGGGGAGTGAAAGGCGGGATATCAAATCCAAACTCTTCTTCTTCTTCTTCTGCTCCCCGCCCCAAGAGATAATTGACTCTCAAGGCGCAAGAGGCCCTGCAAAGATGCCTGACAACAAAAGAAATAGATGCTTCAGTTACATCTGTGCTCATTTAGCCATGCAACTTTCTGTCTTGTCTGTCCCATCCCTTGCTGCCATAAGCTGTCATTTAGTCTGGAAAAAACATGCCCCATCTCAGACACTTTCCCCTGCAAGAAAGATAAGTTTAGAGGCACACATACAACCATGGCCTGACACCCGGATGCTGCCATTCCCTGACTATCGCATATTTTAGTAAAAGGTGGGTAGAATGAGTAGAGAAAATTGCTTTTGTTGGCAAGAGGAGAGATCGGCCCAAGGCCTGCTGTGTCCTTGTAGAGGGTGGGAGAGAGAACACTCCTTTCTCACTGTCAGAGCTGCCACTTAACAAAGTTGAGTGTTGCCAAACATTCACATGCTCTCCTACCCCAGGAGTGGCAGCTGTTGCCTCTGTTTCATTGCAAGGTTCTTTCTGCTAGTATGCTGGTCTCTGGAGCAAATGATCTTGCGCACTGATATAGGACTAGGGCCAAACTATGCTCACACATAGGACATCCACACCATCAGGCATTCTGTGCAATTGCTACTTGTGTGTAGGGGTTCCCTTGCAGACAGCCAAAATCAGTCACCGTCAGAGGGTAGGACTGGTATGGCATTAGAAAGAGATGCATGGACTCCCTCTGGCTTAAAACCAATAGTTCCCTGCATGTGAGTTAACACCTCAATTCAAGGAGAAATGGAGTTCCTTTGAAAGGCTGTAGTCCAAGTTCAGTCTTTGTCTACTTCTTGGACCTTCCTTCAAATTCCATTTTTAGTGCTGTTGCTGAACTGAGATATTTTTCACAGCCTGGGCTACTTTACCTGCTTGCAAACAGAAAATGGATTTGAAACAAGCCTGGAAGTGGTTCTTTGCTTATTCAGTGCTCCTTCACTATCTTGGCCATCTCTGAATCCTGCTTTAGAGCTGCCGTTTAAGATGTTGGTAATGCATTTACTTAGGGAAACATGGGTGCCTCAAGCTTTGTGACAACTTGCTCCAAAAGCGAGGGCTGAAAGGGCTACCTGGCTGTAATCGTCATGCAGTAGGAATGTCAAGGGCTGGCCTTTCCACAGAACTTAGAATGCAAGTTAATGAAAGTTTGCTTGCATTTCAGTGGGGCCCTAATCAAGAAGATGCATTTGCTTGTGAACATTCCATCATTTACAAAACTGAATTGTCATGTGTGGAAAAGTGTGTTTTCTGTCCTTCCATAGGGTAGAAAACAGGTCATTGCTTGGGGCCAAGTTTATCAAAGGCAGCGTTTTCACTGTGCTTACAAAGGACTAGATTTTCTGTGCACCTGGACAGGAAGCAAATCCGAATACTTGATGCATGCTTTACTTTTTAAAACTTAACTACAAACCTAGAATTATTGCTACTACTAGTCAGGGGGGGCTGTGTAGTGCATCCATGAGCAGAGGCACTCCTGTGCTTTTGAATACAGCAGTATGAGTGGGCTTCCCAGGAAGGGCACTTGGTTGCCTTTTGGTCTGATCCAGGAGGGTTCTTCCTACATTAAAACTTCCCAGGTAGACCAACAAACAGGAGAGGTGAGACCATCACACTGCCTTCCTCTGTGCTCTGGAAAGGTTGACCCTTTAAAACACTGATGAGGAGAGGCTGGTTTGAAATTAGGCTCTCCCTGTGCCTCCCCCACACACCCCACCTGTTTGCTTTCTGCCAGGGTGGGGGAAGCAGTGACATCATTAAAAAAAAAGAGTGGTACAATCTTATCTTCCAGACAGTGGATTAGCAATAGTTCTTTTTTGCACCAGTTCTTTATCTTTGAAGAGTACTTTTTGCAGCAGTTTGACACCTGGCATTGCACCCTTCCCCACCTCTGTACTTTTGGCCTGGCTGTGAGCAGAACAAAATGAAAGATTTCTTAGAGGAGTCCCTTTCGAGGCATCTCTAGTTCGTTTTCAGGTGGATGTGTCACTTCTGGAACAAATATATTACTGATATGTGTGGATGTTTTAAAGAAAAGTTTCGTTACACTCGCTCCTTGTAAAGTGCATGAAATAAACGTCTCCTTTCTAACAAAGCTGCCGTTGTGGGTCTTGGTTTCTGGGGCTGCGCTTGCAGGGCGGTGTCGGAGCGGTGTCCCAGCCTCTTCAGGGCGCAGCTGGAGTTCGGCTTCCAACCTCGCTGCTCCAGCCAACCCACCCGCCGTTCTTCGGCTCTGCTCGCGCAGGGAGGGTCGCATCTTGGCCTCGCAGCATTACTACTACTACATTTATTACATATTTTTTTATTATCCTCCCCCATCTGGCAGGATTTCCCCGGTGTTCTCCACGTGTGGCCCACTGTGGGGGCGGAGCTTCCCAGCCAAGCTCCAATGGGGAGGAAGGGGAGGGGCAGTCGAGCCCCATCCGGGTTCTCAGAGCGACTCCCGTCATCATGGCAACCAGCCCCACCCCCAGAGGTGGGATCACAGGTTGCACAGCTCCGTGGATTGGCGGGGAATTCGCTCCGCCCCTACTTCTCTACCCGCGCAGAGTCGGCCCGCTCTGAGCTTCCCGGCCTGGCTGTGGCGCTGAAGTGCGCGCGCACTGCGCAGGCGCCGTTTGGCGGACGGGTCGCGCCGAGGGACAGGCTGCTCCGACGCGCTCCGTTTCCTGCGAGGGAAAGTCCAGGCTTGAGACAAAAGGGGGGGAGGCGAGTAGGGAACATCCGGGTCATTCGCCGCCGCCGCCGTCGCCTGAATCCGGGACACGCGCGGGAGCTGCTGCTGCGGCCGCTACACGGTGAGGCCTTTGGCGGGAGGACGCCTAGGAAGAGGCCGCGGGCAGGAGCGGGAAGCGGAGGAGGCGGCGGCGGCGGACTGGGCCTAGAGGCAGCCCGGAGGCGGAGAGGGAAACGCGCGGCGGAGGCCTCTCAGTCCGCGGAGCGGCCGCCTTCTCGGCCTCCTCCCGGGGCTCCCGCTGGTCCCTCAAGGTCAGGCCTGGCTGCTCGCGCTCCGCCTCCGGGGCGAGGAGAAGGCCGGGCCGGGCCCATAGCCGGGTTCCGCCGAGGCGGGGCTGGTTGCTCCGGGGCCGGGCCTCCCTGCGGCGGCGGCGATGCTCCTAGGGCTCGCACGGGACTCCTAGGCCGCGGTACTTCTCCAACCTCCTCCCCCCGCCCGCCCGGTTGTTGGACTTGGGGAGGGAGGAGGCGGCGGCCTGCGGGAAGCAGCAGCGCCCGGGGAGGGGGGGAGAGGCTCAGGGTCCTGGGATCCTTCTTTCTCTTCCCCCTCCCGCCTCGTTGGGAAAGCTGACAGTTTCCGGGGCTGCGGTAGCAAAGTCGCCCCAAGACGGTTTTTTGCGGCCCATTCGGTGGCGGCGATGCGGAAAACTTCAGTGCCCTGACTGGCATCTGTTTTGTCTTGCAGAAGGACCTTGAATATGTCGGGGATTGCGCTCAGCCGACTTGCGCAGGAGAGGAAAGCCTGGAGGAAGGACCACCCGTTTGTAAGTGGCAGCATCTCCCACTGTGAAGATGAAGAGGAGGAGGGTTTTGTTTCTAACATAACTCCAGCCCCTTTTAGGTGTTCCAACATTACGAAAGAACCATTAGCTCAGCAGAGAGGCTTTTTCAAAAAATGAAATAGTTGATAATAAGTGAATAAGCACAGTACTTAATCTTGCATTAGTAAAAAGTATGTAGAATCTGTAGGCAGCACTGTATTTAAATGCTAAATAGAAATAGCCACCAAGGAATAATATATACATTTTTTGAAGAGACACATTTTAAATGATTTTGGGTTTTTTTTAAAAAAGCTGCACATTGTAAACAAATGATTTTCAAAGGCTCCCTGAGTGCCGTTAATCAGGGCAAGTGCCTGTATTCTTTCCAAAATTATAAGCAGCTATTGGACACTATCAGTGGCTCGCTAGAAACTGGCTAGTGGTGAGCCACAACCAATATTTTACACATTTCTGTTCTACAACAAATAATAAACAAAGATGATCACTTAGCTATTGCATAAAAATGCACTTGATTTCTCTCTGAAATTCTAGTCTCTGAATGTCTTCAACATGCTGATAAAGTATGTACACGGCCACAGTGAGTCTGAAGTCCTAAACAGTGTAATATCCATTGTTGGCCATACTCAAAGTTAAGGTAGCCATGCCCATTAATTTAAATAGGCCTACTGTGAGTAGGACTGACATTGGAGGAGCACGAGGTTCTGTGACTATCCCTTTCCCTAGCATACACTGTATGTTGCCATGATATCTCACATCATCTTCAGCTAACCTTTTAATTGTTTTAGGGTTTTGTAGCAGTACCAACAAAAAATCCAGATGGTACGATGAATCTCATGAATTGGGAATGTGCTATTCCAGGAAAGAAAGGGGTAAGGTTTTGGATGCCTACCAACATTACTGTTCTGTTCTTGGAAGATAGTATTTTATGTTTGGTCTATACTAGTTTAAGGGTACTTCTGTTATATCAAAATGATTTCACCCATCCGTGAAAAATACTTAGTTAAATGACTAAATTTCCATTCACGCCAAAATTACTGTTAACTGCAAAAAGGAATAATCAATTTGTGTCCTAGTTATTTCTCAGCTGGATGTTTGATTGGTCGTTCTGAAACAGTTTGCTGCTTGTCTCCTAATAAACTCTCAAGGCAATGGAATTGAGTGGCCTGGGTGTCTCCATTGGAGGGCATGAAGATGGAGTTGTATCTACTCAGTAATGGTAGAATAGGCTAAAAAGGCTTGTATGGAAAGAAATGTTAGCATGTTCTTAAAATGAGGGAGATTTAAAGCGGCTGTAAGAGAAGCAATATTTTAACCTGGTGTAAATCTTTCACAGTGGATTTGCAATACTTTGCTGCATTAGTTGTCTATCTTGAAGTATATATGTGTGTGTTTGTAGCTGCCTGATATTCTCATTATACACCTCTGGAGAGTATGCTAGCCTAGGCAGCTTGGTCCTAGATCACTCAATATTTCTAACCAATGCTATGCTCTCCTGACAGACACCATGGGAAGGAGGCTTATTTAAATTACGGATGCTTTTCAAGGATGATTATCCCTCCTCACCCCCAAAATGTAAGTGAGATTAACTCATATAAACTGCCTAGAAATATTTTTTGATTAAGCAGTATTTAAATCTTGCAAAGTAAACAAAATAATGAAAGACTTTCAGATTAAGGTTGTTAAATGATGTAGTGACCCTAGCAACACAATAGTTTGCCACCTGTGTTGTGAAATCCATTCCTTTCACAGGATGCTTTCAATAGTGGCCAGATCTAAAAGTACTTGAAGAAATGTATTATTTCTCTACCAGATTTCTTCGTTTTTGCCTGTACAAATATTAGGAGTCCCTGGAATAGGAGAACAAATTGTCCTGAACCACTGGAGTGCTGTCTTCATTATTTCCTTTGCCCCGTTTTGTCCTGAAATTGTTTCTGATTTCTTATGGATAGAAGCTCTGGAAAGTGGCCCTCAAGTGACAAACAAAAGCTGTGTTGTTGTTTCACAGTTTCTGGTGTCCCCAAGGATCCTTAGATGTTAGGCTGCTCCAAGTTTGCTGCTCTTAATACTTTTTTCTTTTTAACATTGTTAATAACTGCCTCGAATGACCTTTTGTGCAACAGGCAGAAAAATATTTTAATAATATTTTAATATTTTCCCTTTTGGTTTAAAACGAGGATAAAGAGATGAATTTTTAAAGTTTATTTCTACTGATATTTGTTTTTGTTATGATTCCCCCCCCCCCCGCCGATCTATTTCACTGTTTCTATTTTAGTTGTAAGCTGCCTTGAATCCCTGTGATAGAAAAAGGCGGTATATAAATAAACATAATAGTAGTGGTATATAACTTTCTAGGCTTCATTGCCTGTTGCCCTTATTTGAATTCACTGTTTTCTTTATTTCCTTGAATGTTTCACTTGGTCTTGTTAGGAATGCATCCAGAGGACATATTTTCCCCTCACTTGCTCTCCACTCCCTCCACTTTAAGCGTGTGTGTGTGTGTGTGTACGTGCGTGCCTTTCTCCTAAGCTGCAGTTCTTCAAATTGTAGGTGGTGGTGACAGCAACAGCTGTTCTCAGACAGCATCCCCTGAATGAGAGTGATGAGCAGTGTGTTGATTGGTTGATCCAAGTGTGATTGTTCCAAATAAATTTACTTGAGGCTGCTTTGATTCAGCAAGGGATTGATTCTGCTTTCTGCCAAAGAGCAGCAGAAGCCTAGCAGATGTATCCCAGTAGGATTTTCTCACCCAGGTTTTTAAGCGCAAATCACCCTCTTCCCTTGCAACCTGGGAAAGCGCAAGTTGTGTGATGGCAAAAAGTTTTTTTTCTCCTACAGTGGAGTAGTCACATGATGACAGATGAAGCCTTTCCACATAATTGCTTGGCTTTATGTCTGAACTAGGTCTTCTCTTGTGCAGGCAAATTTGAGCCACCCTTATTTCATCCAAATGTGTACCCTTCAGGCACTGTGTGTCTGTCCATCCTAGAAGAGGATAAGGATTGGAGGCCTGCAATCACAATTAAACAGGTATGCATATTTCTCTACACAAAAAACGAGCTACAGGAGGCTGGGATAGACACTTCCCTGGGTGGGTTTAAATTGAGCCAAGTGCCCCTTTTCTTGGCAAAAATTACAGAAATGCAGGAAGCTAGTATTGCCTGCTCTGAAAGGCAGTCTATCTCCAGGCAGATAATTCTTCCCTCTCACCTACTGTGCATTTCTTGTACCTGGAGATTAAGCCTGAGACCTTCTGCATCCAAGCATATATCTTACCAGTGAACAGTGCTCCCTGGCAGCTGTTGATTCACGTAGTTCCTGAGCAAACATGCATACTGAGTGGCAGAAGTAGTTAACTCATCTGGTTGCAGTTAACCTGGGAGTCTTGCTGCCTTGAAACATAGCCCAAAACTTCTGGTTATGTGGCCATCATACTTTTTGCTCTAGAGAACATAGAACTGCTATGGGAAGCAAAACAATTGTGGAATCTAGAGTTTCCATTAGAACACTAGCAAAGAGAGAGGCTGCAGTCGCTTTGCACCCTGAACTCAAGTCCCTTTCATAAACATACTTAGGGTTGGACTTTACCTGCCTGGAGCTTTCCAGAAAGCAAGAGTGCTCTCTGGCAGGACAATGAGTTGTGTGCAATGTTAGTCAAACTCCGTGTGCAATGTTAGTCACGCTCGGGGTGGACTTCAGCTGGCTACAGTCCATGTTTCTCCGTGACATGAGAAGCCAACGTGTACACCCCAAATCATTGGAACAGCAGGATATAATTCAGTGTACTTGGAAAGGTCTTGGGTTCATGTTTAAGAGACTGTTTTGAGTGGAATGTCTGTCTTTATTTTTAGAGAGCACTGAATAACTAAGCTAAATAAACAATCTGATTTAAAATTAAAAACGGTTTAGTATATATTTGATTCAAATTCATTGTGGCCACACAGGGAGCTTCTCATGTTTCAACTGCATTTTCTTGTGCAGACTAAAATCTGTTTTATAACAATACTTGCGTGAAGGGTGTTTCTTTTCTTCTGTGCTCATAGATCTTGTTAGGAATCCAAGAACTCCTAAATGAACCAAATATTCAGGACCCAGCTCAAGCAGAGGCTTACACAATTTACTGGTGAGTAGACTTCACCTGCTCTGATGTCATACCCCTTGACAATTGCAGTCATAATAGACTGATACTTCCTCTCAAAAGACAGAACCAAATATCCACCGTGTCTCTTTCCCTGCCAATCATAGTAGGTAAGCATTTGTGTAACACTTTGGGGCTAAACTAGACAAAAATGCAGGGTTTTAAAAATGCAGGAGGCAGCTGCTTCAGAAGTTGGAGTGAATCGCTGCCCTTCCTCCAAGACTGTTTGTGTTAGGAAGGAGCTGTTGGCACCAGTGAGGCTTCTGTGCAAGTAGCAGGGGCTGAAATAGTTCAGTTGGTAGAGCATGAGACACTCAATCGCAGGGTTGTGGGTTTGAGCCCCATGTTGGGCCGCAAGATTTCTGCATTGCAGGGGATTGGATTAGATGACCCTCATGGTCTCTTCCAACCTTGCAATTCTTTGATTCTGTGAATTGCCTCACCTATGTTAACCATGTTGCTTGTAAAAATGATACCTTCCTAATTCATATCCATACCCCTTTCCATCTCCAGTCAGCAACTCCTGGGAGATCTCTTAGATCCCAGTGTTCTGAGTATTCTGCATGTGGGGTCTTCAGTGTTTGATTATCTCAAGCTATGGGCTTGATACAGAATGCCTCATGCAGAGAGATCTTTAAAAGTCAAGTCACCTTTCTCTTTTTAGCCAAAACAGAGTGGAATATGAAAAGAGGGTTCGAGCACAAGCCAAGAAGTTTGCACCATCATAAGCTCCTGTCATCCAGCATCTTAAAGGAAGGGATTAATTGGCAAGAACTTGTTTACAAAACTTTTGCAAATCTATTGTCACTATGTACAATTAATAGTCACTTAGGGGAGGGGATTGTATGTGTGCCATTTTCCATATTCGCCACTTGTATACAGTTCTAAATTTGCTGAATTGCCCCCCGTTTTTTCATACAGGGTCTCTTCCTTCAGTCTTTTGTATTTTTGATTGTTATGTAAAACTTGCTTTTATTTTAATATTGATGTCAGTATTTCAACTGCTGTAAAACTATAAACTTTTATACTTCTATAAATTCACTAGTATCTCTAGTTTCTTTGCTTTCTGATGCAGGCATGCTTTAAACTGTTTAGAAGTATATTTTGCCTCTACTTGGCTGTAAGAAGAAAAAGAAAAACATGCCCTCCACCCCCTTTTTTGATTTCTACCAATAATAAATTAGGTTGTTGTTGCTTAAAAGCCTCCAGATCCAAAGTCAGCCAGCATCTTGATTCTGCATCACTTCCTTTGTGTTTATGGCGTTTTGTCTGTGTTGCTGTTTAGAGTAAATAAACTTGTTTCTATAAAGCTTTTTGTCTCACTTTCTTCCTTTAATATACTTGTCACTTTTGGAGTGACATCTCTTGCAGGCATTCAATAACTTTGGGAGAGATATCATGCCATGGTCATTCCAGGCAGCAGGAGTTAAAAAAGATCTGTGTGAGATCTTGAAAAGCCACCGGTAGTTAGTTCCATGTGACTATACTGCTGTATTCAAGCATCCAACATACAACAGTGCATCATTTGGCTGCTTGGCTTAATAGGATGAAAGGACAAACTAACCAAAGTTTGGTACATTAGTGTTTATTCCACTCCCATGAATATACATGTTGGGGGCAGGGGTATGCTTTTCAACATTGCCATATAAGGATTTCCTTCCTTCACATCAAAGCATCCTTTTAGCTGGACAATAGAGGTTGAAAATGCATGTTTCAGACCCAGTAGCTTCATTATCCTGGTGATATTCTCATTGGCTACTGTCCCACACCCCACTGGTGACCTAAGGAAGCTTAGAGTGCAGTTTCATCTTTCCTCTTGCCTGCAAAGTGAGGAATTTTTTTGTATCAAGGCACAAGTGACACAGGTTAAATGCTGCAATGGGCTTGGGGTGCTTTTGTAACACTGCAATTTCAGCCACCTTTGTTTTGCTATCATCTGATCCCCCAGAGGCAGCTCATTAGCCACTGTTGAAAGCTACACTGCTGGAGGGTGTGTGTGTGTGTGTGTGTGTGTGGAGTCCAGCCTTGCTCCAGCAAGGTAGTCCCATGTGTTCTTCACCCTCAGCAGTATAAGAAGGGTCAGGGTGCCTGCCCATCTCAGCTGGAGCTTCTTATTCAGCATCTGCATTCCCAGCCACCAGGCCACAGCCTCTCTTGGGTATCAGGAGAGGTACTGAATTGAGAGGTGGAGGCGTTACTTTCAGGGAACCTCTCCCAGTTTATTTCCTTCCAACATCACAACATAGTCTACTAGTAGAAACTAGCTGAAATGGTGATTTAAAAGTGTGCCACAGTTGCAGCATATGGCCACTACAACAGAAGAGAGAGGGTGAGGCCCCATTTGCTAGCAGTAAGTGGGGACTGCTATCGACAGAAGAAGGTTCTCAACCAACTCAGTATATATTCTTAACCCACTGGGGTCACCAGAGCAGAGTGCAGTCAAGCCCAATCCTAGACAGGCTTTATTTAAAAGCAAACCCCATCACTGAGTTCAATGGGACTTACTTCCTTGTAAGAATGCTCAGGATTGGAACCTTGGTTTGTTTTTAGTTTTCTCCCACACAGCTGGCTTGCTGTGTGCAGCACATGTTGCATTCAGGTCCTCTGAGCTGCTACTCTTTCCAGCATCATCCTCATCATCATCCTCATCAGATGTTTCTTCATCGGAACTTTCATCACCAGCAGTTATTCTATGAACAGAGATCAGTGTAATACAAACCAAGAAGGAAAAGGAAAATGAGACACTACTGCTATGTCAACTCAGACGTAAGCCCCACTAAATTCAATGGACTTTTTCCCTGGTGGGTTTAGGATTGCAAACCTGAAGCTCTTACCCTGAAGCTCTGGCAGGCCTGTTGGGATTAAAAAATTCTTTTCCAGAGTCAATATCAAAGGGGTCTGTGGAGAGAAAAAAGCAGAATGGTAAGCTTTTGTTCCAAGTTTTTTCTTCTCTAGAACCATATGTATGCAGTTACATCCCATCTTTCAGAATGCAAATCATTCCAAGATGACTTAAAAGTAAAATCAATATGCAATAATTTACCAGTACAATGCCAATAATAATTGCCACAGGCAGTTGATGGTAGATAACTTGGGAGTGTGGGGTTGGTTTGTTAGTCCAGCTGGTGTAGTCATTGAAGGCAGGGGAGATGGGCAGAGACTTTAGTCTATATTGACAATAATTACTGCATCAAGGAAACCAGTATCACTGGCTGACAGTGGACAGTGAGCTACTAGGCCTAACTCAAGGTGTTAGTGTTGCCATGACAAAGCTCTAAATGTTGAGTTGAGGTGATTTAATACTTGTATTTCACTTTTCCAACAACAAATGTTGAACCATTGTTTTCTGATTACTTTGAGGGGGTTTGTGGGATTTAGGAGCAGTATTTTGTATATTGTAGATACCAGCCCTTTGTTGTTAGGAGGAGGTTTTTGAAGGTTGTCAAGGGCCTAGTCACTGCTCATTTTACTACTGGATTCTTTAAAAGGGCATGTACTTGGTGGTGTGTTAGCCCAGGGCATTTCGGTGTCCCCTAGTTTGTCTTGTATTTCTTGTGTTGATATGGGTTTGTTATTTTTGTAGAAGTCTGCTAGGCGGTATAAGCCTTTGGCTTGCCAGGTTTTTATCTAGAGGTTTTGTGCTGCGTGGTGCAATAGTGGTGTGGTGTGCCAGGGGGATTAGTGGGGATGGGGTTGAGGACAGTTTACCTGCTTCTTCCTTCCATGCTTTAAGCATGGTCTGTGTGAACCTGTTTAGTGTGGTGGGGATTTTCCTTAGTTTTTTGGGGAGGAATGGGTAAGCTGTAGTGGAGGTATTTTCAATTATGTCTCCCTCCAGGTGTACTCATTTTGTCTTGTCTTCTAGAATGTATGGGATTATGTGGGACACTTGGTTGGTGATGTAGTATAGTTCTATGCTGGGGATTCCCCACGCTCCTAGGGGGCACCCAAGTTATGTGGCTGACTGATCCCATATGTTCATCCCAGAAGAATGGAGCATCTTTCTGACTGAGCACCACTTGATTTCCTGACCATGGAGGTGCAGGGGAGACAAGGGCAATGTCAAGGCATTGTTTAAGAAGACTCAAAGGTCCTCATAAGTAAAAGTCAGTAGGTTCTTACCTATTTCTTCTTTTTCCTTTTTTTGGGCATGAGCCAGAAACTCTTGTTCAACTTTCAGTACTTCCTCTTCACAATTACAGGCTGCATATTTCTCCAGGAGGTCTTTATTCAAATCAAGGAACACTTTTCCCCATTTAAATTTTTGTAAGAGGATTATGGCAAGATCAGAGAATCCTAAAATAAAGACAAGAAAGTCTGCATTTTTAAAAAAATTTACAAGGTACTTTGCAGGCAAAGAAGCTGTCCAGCCCCATACCTCCTAGTTGCTGGTGACATTGTGAAATAAGTAAGTTTTTATCTATCTATCTATCTATCTATCTATCTATCTACTTCATTGGCATAAAAAGTGCATTGTATACATGGATCAAAATACAACACAGTTAATGAAACATATTAAGAGGTACTTTATGATAAAACTGCCCAGACCAGACATTGTGAGGTACGTTAAGACCTATGGTGACAATTTTATAGCATCACTCAGAAATCTTGCCACATTCTCCAATTAATCAGTTAGTTGGGACAGAGGCAGGTAGCTCAAAATAAAGACAGAAGTCCCTATCAAAAAGTAATTGAGCAATGTGTACATTCGCATACACCTTGCTGTAAGCCTATAGCAGTGCTCAAAAGAAGGGAGGGAATGTGGAGAGAACAGACCCCAGATTCCTCAGCAGATGCCACAGACCCACAGAACATTTTCAAACTTGCCCCAGTCATCAAGGAAATATGTTTGACACTAAGGCATGGCTGCACACAGACAGGCATGTATTCATACAGTCCACTTTACAGCAAAGAATTAGACCTACAAGCTTTTCTTCCAGCCTCACCCACAATGTAGAAAGTAGCTGCAAATGCTTCCACACAGGAGAGTTTGCATGGCCGGCCGTAGTTCACTGGATTTGCAGCCACCAGAAAGGGCAGCAGGCGGAGATGGCTTCCCTTCATCTTGGCAAATGGCGTCTCATCCAGCTTTGCCCAAGAGCAGTCAATCACCGCAATTCCATTCTGAGCCACAATCTGTCTAAAAACACAGCAACAACAATTTCAAACCAGGATGTTGCTGGTTTCTCGCTCCACTAGAGCTGCTTTGGGATCCAGTTAGGATAGCAGATGTGAGTTGCTCAAGACCGCCAAGCCAGACTTCTCATGCGAAGACACTGGATGTGGCCAAATCTGAATAACCAAGGACTTGGCAACATTACATCGATCCTAAGGTGTGGTTTCATCAGCTCACTAGCTAGTGGAAGCATCCACTTGAACAAAGCCCAAAAAGAACACTGGCTGGGAACGCACCTCAACCCTGAAGTATCAGTCTTACAGGCTCCACATACTGGCCCTACACATGAGCACTAAGAAGAAAGCAGCCCTGTAGCTGGACCAGCCTGTTCTTACAGATGCCTGAGGGAAGCCTGCAAGCAGGGCATGAACACAACAGCACTCATTCAGAGGCAGCAATGGAGACAGAACAAAACAATTATGGCTAGAAGCCACTGATAGGCTTGTCATGAATCTGTCTAATCCTCAGTGAAAAGTTGATGGCTATCACTGCCTCTCAGTGAGCAAATTCCAGAGTTTATTACCAGCTGTGTGAAGAGCTGCTTTCTTTTCTCTGCCAACATTACCGTTGAGTGGCCCTGAGGTATAGCATGATTAAAAGTCCTGCCTTTTCCCCTCCACCGGGCAGAAACCCTCCTCCTGTCTTTGCTGACTTCCCCTTTCCTCTAGATGCCTATAATTACGGACTGGCAAGTATCTAAAAAGGAAGTAAGGGCTTGACCTTTATTGATATTAATACATGTTCCATATTTTCTTTTAACACTATCAATATGCTTAAGAGATTCAGGAACTAAGTATTTACCATCTCAAAGGAATGGCCAGGCTACCCAGAAAAGGCAATCATAGAAAGCATTATCAGGTATCCTGGCTGACAGAAGAGAAGCAACACACACAAATTTCTGCTGGGGATCACCTCTTTCTGTAATGTATGTATGATGTTTTGGGGGGGTGGTCTTGAGCTACAGGGTAGGTAGTTTCAAAAGTCTATATAACTGCTTGCACACCAATGTTCTGGGTTGCTCCTCCCCCCTGCATGTGGTGAGTGAGCACCCTGTTGCAACTGTTTAATAAAGATCCGGCTTACTAGCTGCTTTGCTTCTCAATATTCTCTGGTTGGCCTCTGCTATTTTCTAAGGACTCTATACGGGCTCTTGGATACCCCATCAGGGAAAAGGGAGCAGGTTTTCCTTCTAACACCTTCCTAGCTCCGCCGGCCCCGCTCACCTGTCTGCGGGGGAGACGAAGCGGGTGGCGGCGGGGCTGAGGATGACGCCTCCGAAGCGCTGCCCCAGGCGCAGCGTCCGCACCAGCCCCTTCCTCGCCAGCCTCCGCCCCGTGCAGCGCCGCGGGTCGCAGTGGCCCAAGTCCCACATGGCCAGCGGGGGAGAAGGCGAGGCCCGGACCTCGCCGCATCCCTGGACGCTGCCGCTACCCGGCTCCGGCTCGGCCGACCCCGCCGCCGCGCCCTTGACGGGGGAGGAAGAAGAGTGGCCACGGAGCGGGTCCCCGCCCGAGATGGGGCCGGAGTCGCCGCCGGGGCCTTCCTCATCCTCCGCCTCCGCGAAGGCCTCGAGAGGGGGTCCCGGCCGGGGCTGCCGCTGCCGCCGTTGCTGCTGCCGCTTCCGCCCCATCTCCTCGTGTACCAAGAGGCGGGTAGAGCGGCTCCCTGGCGCCCCGGAAGAGCAACCCCTGCAGGCGCTTCCGGGTCTCGCCGGAGAAACGAAGATGGCGGCCTCTGCTGGCAGTGCAAGAAGGAAGCTGGAGGAGGAAGGGACGAGGGTCGGGATGGGCGCGACGGCGTTGCTGCTGCTGCTGCTGCTGCTCCCTCTGATGGGAGGTAGGGAGGCGCCCCCCCCAGCCCCTTAACCCCTCTCACCGCCCCTACTCACGCTCCCCTCCATAGCTGTCAACTTTCAGATTTGAAAATAAGGGATCAGCAGCCTCACCTGTCCCGGGGACAGCCTGCGGAATATCTAACGATCCGGGATAGCAGCGGGAAGCAGCAGGAAACGGCGCTGGAATAAGGGAGTTTCCCGCAAAAAAAGGGAAGGTTGACAGCTGTGCTCCCCTCTCTTTTCCAGAACTGGCCGCTGGCGGGAAGATGAAAGTCGTGGAGGAGCCCAACAGCTTCGGGTGAGCGCTTGAGACCCTTCCCCGCCCTGTTCCCCAAATGGGCGCCACCCCACCATGAGCGCCCCTGAGGACTTCTCTTCCTCTCCTTGCTTCCTTCCCCACCAGGCTCAACAACCCCTTCCTGCCTCCGTCAAACCGCCTCCAGCCCAAAGCGTCCCCTTCCCCTGTGGCAGGTAAGTGGCTAGGCTGGGGCAGGGCAGGTGCGGAGGCAGGCAAGAGCCGCAGGGCTCCACGGCCAGAGCTCCAGAGGGAGAAAGGAGAGCCCTTTGAAGAGGATCCTCCGCCTTCCTCTCCCTGTTGCCTATGGGCTGCCTTTATGAGCGAGCCTCCTTGTTTCTTTCCTAGGACCTGCACATCTTTTTAGGCTGGCGGGCAAGTGCTTCAGTTATGTCGAATCCATGTGAGTATCTCGTTGGCATGTCAAATAGTGAAACACCGTACATTGTAATAAAAGACAAACATTCAAAATGCTTTCAATATTTAGGTACAAGTATGAGTTCTGCCCATTCCATAATGTCACCCAGCATGAGCAGACTTTCCGGTGGAATGCCTACAGTGGAATTCTCGGGTAAGCAGATTCTGACATTTGTTCCAATATTTGTTTGTTATTGACTATTTAAAAACTAGTATTCTAGGATCAAAAAACTGCCTGGTTTAACAGGAGAGTTAAAAGCAGCACCTTCAAATTCACTCACATTTGTGGCTCGTGCTAGTATACAGTTGAAAACTAGATTTCTACAGTTTTGCCCACCCCAAGGATTCAAACCTTCAGAACTGCAGTATAAGTTATTACAGGGCTTAAGTCCTAGCACACAGTGCCCTTATTGTGCCTGTATTAGTCTTAAGCTGGTGCTTTCATGAAATAAATTAAGTGACTGGGTATTACTTATCCTGCAGTCGCCTAGCTGCTTAACTGCCCTGTTAGATTGACACTTTTGTTTCTGGGGAACAGATGCTTCATAGCCTGAGACAAAACAGAACCCTGCAGGCTGCATGTCAGAGTAGACTGTCAGCACCACTTTATAGAAAAGGCCATTAACTACTGATACCATGATTGATGGCATCAAATTCCACTTTTCCCTTTGAGGTTTTCTTAAAAAACAGATTTTTTTAACCTGTTTACTTTCTTTCTAGAATCTGGCATGAATGGGAAATTGAAAACAATACATTTGTTGGTATGTGGATGAGAGATGGAGATTCGTGTGAAACCAGGAACCGACAAACAAAGGTAAGCAGTAAGGATGTACTAAAGAACAAAAATACCTTTTGGCCATCTACAAGTTTTGAAAGTGTTCCTTGCTTTCATCACAACACTTGTAAAAAGGGGAGGGGGACAGACAGGCTTTGCACAGGAGAAGAATTTTGTTCTTCATTGGGCTATTTCACCGCCAAGGAATGGTATCCGAGACATTTTTCTTTACAAAGCACTCAGGTAATACTGTAAGTTTCTCCTAACAGTCTGATTGTATGCTTGCCTACAGCAAGGTAAGCTACGTGATGTTCCTTGTCTTTGGGAAGAAACAGGACTACAGTGGTACCTCTGGATGCAAACGGGATCCGTTCCAGATCCCCGTTTGCATCCTGAGTAGAATGCAACCCGCGACTGCATGGGTCGCGATTCACAACTTCTGCGCATGCGCATGACATCATGTTGAACGTCTGCGCATGCGCAAGCAGCGAAACCCAGAAGTAACGCGTTCCGTTATTTCCGGGTCGCCGCAGAGTGTAACCTGAAAACGCTCAACCTGAAGCGACTTCAACCCAAGGTATGACTACTTGGTGCTGTTAAATCTCATGACAGTGCTTGATGCTCACTGACTACTCCAGCAAATGATCCAGGGTGAAATGGGATTTGACTTAATATGAAGCCAGCAATGGCTTTTTTCACTTGTTCTCACTTCTCTGCTTTTCAGGTTCTTCTTGTCTGTGGAAAGAACAACAAACTGGCTCACGTGTCTGAACCAAGCACTTGTGTTTATTCTCTTACATTTGAAACTCCATTAGTTTGCCACCCACATTCTCTCTTAGGTAGGTTAAATACCTCAATTTCTGGATGAGTGCCAGGAGGCACTGCAGTGATGCTAGCTTTTACTGCAAAAGGCCCTTTCACCAGAGTTCCCATCACCAAGGTTCCACTTTTGTGGTGCAGAGAAAAGCAAAGAGTGATGGAGCCTCATGATGCCTCCTTTGATTTCTAAGATGTGCCTTCTCTGGCCAGATTTTCAATATTGCTGCTGCAGTGCATGGCTGGCTGCAGAGATGATGATGGTCATTTTCATTTTCATCGTCTATATATTTGGGAAGTTGTTTGCCTGCTCATTATGTATCTGGGCACCTCTTAAGATATTGTAATGAAATTTTGTATGATGATTCCTTAAAGAAAGGGGAGGTTTCTGTCTATGTTTAGATAATGTTGTATGCAATTTTGAATCAAGATGGTGGACTGAAACCTTCCAAAGGGTGGTGCACTGATTTTCCTTTTCTCTTTACAGTCTATCCAGCTTTGCCTGAAACCCTCCGGAGGAAGTGGGATGAAGTGGAACAGTTGCTTTATGCTGAGCTAATCACAAAACAGGTTTGCTTCTTTTCTTTGTTACATCTCTGTCCTACCTTGCTTCTGTGGAACCCCGAGAGGCACACGCAGCTATCACAGGGAGCCTCCCTTCCAGGCACACTCCAGGCCCAGCTCAGCTCAGCTTAGGCCTTCATTCAGTGCTGCTACATTCAAAGTCTTGCCCTAGCTGTTCCCTAATTAGGGTGTGAAGGCTGCTCAGAGGAAAGGCTTTAAGGTACCTCTTCCGTATTTAACCTTGCACTTTGTATATAGCACAGTGGGTGGGGTGGAATAAAGCAATGACATAGCTTCCCCTCAAAATTGACTGAGATTGATTTATAGATTCTATCTTTAAAAACAACTTGGTTTTAAATAATAATTCAATTTAATATATAGCCAATCCTGTAGCCTGTACTTCTAATCTCTTAAAACTGAATGTTGGTAATCTATCAAGTGCATTGGAGGATGATTCTAATAATGGACTGGAAAAAGTCCTGGAATGGCAGATAGACATGTAATATACCTGGAACTATTGAAGCTTTTTGAGGGAAAATGCTTTTTCTGGGTGGTTTGTTTTGTCTTATCTTGGGGAACAGATTTGGTTTTTTATAAACCCTCTTTCATATAGTATTCCAAGGCTTTTTAATAACGGAAATGAACAGTAACTACAGAAACAATTTAAAAATATTAGCATTCCAGTAAAAATCTACAAAAGCAGGGGTGGGGCGGGGAGAATGCAAGAAAATCATAGTTTCAACCTCTGGAAGGCAGTATAAAAGCAAAAAATAAAAGTAACCTAAAAGTCTGATGGGTAGCATGGTCCAGATGTGTTGCTGTATTCAAGTTGTGCAAAGTTGCTACTTAATTGTAAACCAAAATGTTTTCATTATTAGAGTAACTACTTGAGTGTACATGTGTTCAGGAAATACGTGGATTTCAAATGGGATACTTGATTTTCATAAATGTATTTTACCCAAGTCATTAAAATCCAGCTGGCCAGTGCTGAAACGCTGGCTCCCAGTTCTGAGGCCAGGCTCCTGGGAAACAGGTAGAAAAGCAAATAGCAATTGGGAGGGTAAAAATAAGGCTTTATTTGATATTTTGTTTTCTAGGGATACAAGAAACGATTGAAAGAGATATTTGAAGAAGCAGGCTTTTTTAAATTAACTGGAGAGAAAGTGAGTGAGGGAAAGAAAACAAAGCCTCAACACCTGGAATTTGATTCACTGGAAAAGTGCAATAAGGTACAGAAATTGGTGCCTGGGATGCTAGGCTGGTGCATTGTGGCTGTTGTTTATCATTCTGCATTCTTCTTCCTGTGCTGTTTCAGTGACTTGGTCTATTAAAAAAATAGGCATAGACTGAGTGGGAGGTGTGTTAGAAGTTGCTGGAATGAATAGCATCAGTGAACGTTGTCCAGTGCTTAAAAGTGCTATGGATGCGGGTAAAGAGTGGCAAGGCCCCGACTGGGTTTCAAGCCTGCTATTAGAGTGACTCTCCCAGACATAATCATTATCTTGATGACGTAAAGGGCATCTGCTTTGCTTTTGTTTTCATGGCTTCTGTATTTGGGCATTTTGTAATTTTTGAACTTTTATGTTAAATTGTTACTTGTATTTGTGGATAACCATTGCCCTCTTATTTTCTAGGAGTACAAAGAACTTTCTAAAGATCTGAAGCGGCTTACAGATTTACTTACTCAACATGGAATTTCATATGAAACAAGCCTGAGTAAGTTGAGCAAAATTATTTCCTCCTCCCGCACAACACTGATACAGTGGTACCTCAGGTTACAGACTCCGCTAACCCAGAAATAGTACCTCGGGTTAAGAACTTTGCTTCAGGATGAGAACAGAAATCGCACGGCGGCAGCGGGAGGCCCCATTAGCTAAAGTGGTGCTTCAGGTTAAGAACAGTTTCAGGTTAAGAACGGACCTCCAGAATGAATTAAGTTCTTAACCCGAGGTACCACTGAATTGGCAGTCTTAGTTAACACTTATTTGGGAATAAGTCTTGTTGAACGTGGCAGGCCCAAACATTGGCAGTGGAGGGGAGGGGAGAATGAAGTAGAGGCAGTCTTTAACTTTAACTTGTTTTTACTCCTTCAGTAACATAACATGTATAGTTTATAACTTAGGCTTCAAGGTGGGTGAAGTGTTGAAAGGGCTTGAGGTGGGGAAAAGCCAGGTTCAGGGTAGGGGAAATGACAGAGCATCCTTCTGAATTCATCCCAGTCCTAGTATTAGTTCTTGGTTGGGTGGGAAAGCTGTAGCTGGCTTATGGGATCAATGGTCTGAGCTTGGTATAAAGTAATTATTTTCTTGTATTCTAGATGGAAACAGAGATGATAACCGTGCCACTCAGGCAGTTGTGACAGAAAAGCCAGCTCTTACTGTTGTTTCAAAGGCTGATTGGCACCTGCGTGGAGACACGGGAACATGGAATGACTCCCTCTAAGGAAAAAAACCCCTGGACAACTCACTCAGCATTTGGGGCTTTCACAGCGATTAGAATTTAATCCACATTTTGTGGTTGTACTTGGGTTATGGAACCTGTGACACCTCAGATGAGGCTAGAGTATAGCTTCCATCTTTCAGCATAGGCCACGCTAACTGGACCTGAAGGGAGCTGGGATTGAACAAGAAACATATGGAAAGTCACAGGTTTCCTATCCCTCTTCTGTACCCCACAGGGAAGAGCAGAAACTGTTAAATATAGGGCAGTCTTTTCAGCAGGCCAGTGTCTGGTAGGAGCCTCTGCTGCCAACTCAGGACTCTCATTTGGAGTGAAGGCAAGTTGAAGCGGTGGCAGCCTTTTTGAGCTTTGTGTCTTATTGCTTCGTAACAGAGAATGCTACAAGTGAGGGCAGCAGTCTTGCATACTATGTGGTGTCATGGGCCAGAAGAGGATCCATCCAATAAATTCCAGTCCTTAGAATTTTATTTAACAAAAGTGCATAGAGACCACAATATGGGTATAGGCTGAGGGACCCAATACAGGATTTATCCCAAAGGACCATTACAAATGACCAGTCAGTGTTGCAGGCATGCACTATGAAGAAAACATCAAGCAGAACTATCCCCCTATGCTTAATTTTACTCCTATTAATTCAGCAGGCCCCTCCACTGCTTTATGATATATTTCTGATTGTTTCTACTAGGCTGCTAAAGCAAGAAACAACGTACTTGATTTCTGCCGCCGCTTTCATTCATTTCAGCGGGACACTGGGCACAGAGACCGCTGCTCCATAGGCCAGATCTGTTTATCCACCTTGATGAGGCTCAAAATTGCCCATCTTGCCTTCCTACCAAGAACCACCTACTTGATCACATGAGATGGCCCACGGCCAGAGCAGAAGTGCCTCCAGCTGCTGTCTTGGTGGTTTGGTCACCTTAGTAGCCACCATAATGCTATAGGAATATCAAACTACATTACAATAGATTGGGGGGTAGAAGAGGAGGGAAAGTCCAAGACGTGGACTAAACACCCCCAAAGACAACAAACAAACCACTCAGGCTAATAATGGTTTAATTCTGGGTGTTGAGTACATGGGAAACAATATGCAGCAGGCAGTGCAGCCATACGTCAGGATGGGTGCAAAGATCTGGAACCAGCCGAGGTTGGCAGTGTGGGAAGAGAGCTGCTCGTTTTGGGAGCCACTGATGGGTGAAGCAGCTCACAGAAAGAAACTCAAAGCTCCTTTTCCACAGATTTCCAAGTAACAAGAGTTACTTCCCATAGAACTTCTTGTTTAGAAGAAAAATGAGGAGATTGACATTCACTTTTGCTCGGTCAAACAACTTCATGACAGCCACACCTTCATACTGGAGCTGCAACAGATCCTGTGGGAGCCGGAAGAGGGGCGGGGAGAGAAAGAGAATAAATTCTCAGCTGCGGCTCCTAGGACACACCTGGTCAGCGTACAGAGGCTTGGCCTGTAGCGTTCATACATCTTGCCCAGTTTGGACCTCAGATGGGCAAATCATACCCAGCAGTCATTTCTCAAGTAACACGTGCCATCATTTTTTTGTGATGCTCAGCGGAAGGGGAAGCTATCAAGCTGCTATAGTGAAGGGTTCTCTGTTTTGCACAGGGTGGGAAGGAACCCTATTCCATGCATTGATACTTCTCCAAAACTGATTTCCTCACTGGTAAAAGCATGGATGCCATCCCTGTTGGACATTCTAATTTTGTTTTCAGTAATTTAAGTGCACATTTTTCTTTAATGCTGCCAAATAAGGGGGGGGGGAATGGTTTTCCCATGTATGAATATACACATGCCATTTTGCTGAAATAAATTATTCTGGAAATGCCTCTGCACTGACTCTTCAACTCATTTCCAAGAAATGAGGATGGAGCACACAGGAAGGACTGTGAATGTTGCATTTGGCAGCAGATGGAAAGAGAACAGCAAGCCATGTTATGCCCCAGCAATTATACCCCAGCTGCTTGATGCTTGCATACTTTCTGATAGCAGGCTAAATAGAGAATAAGTTGGCAGTGAATAGATTAAGCTTTAGGAGTTATTTTTCCTATGCAAGTTATATGCATTTGCACCGTCCACTTTGCTCCCCACCCCCCATATGCTCCCCTAAGATTATTTCAGCACATTAAAAAAGCTCTAAGAACCAAATTGGGCAAAAAAGATGAAAATAATAATTAAACTCTTACTCCAATCTAGGATCAATAATTGATAATAGGACTATTCCTTAGAATCACTGCTGGAGATCTCCTTGCTCACTAATTAGGCCAAGAGGAGGAATGAACTATTTTTTAAAAAAAAAAAAATGCTATAGCTCAAGCACTGGGCATGGCAGGCCTGGAGGGTGGGAAGGAGGCCTCTGTGCCCTCCAGGAACAAGTCTGGAAGACACCATCTCCTGATCAAGGAGAAGCCTATTCTCAAACCGTTTTGCAATGTCCACCTGCATCGGGTGTGTGGGTGTGTGTGAAAAGGCATTTTTTCAGAAAACTGAAGCAGCCACAAAGCTGCTACATCATCTGGTGCAAACAGGCAACAAACCTCCCCACCACCACCCTCCCGGGGCGGGGGGAGTGGAGAGTCATTTTTAAAATCAATCTATTTATGTAAAACTGCTAGCACATTTAAAAACATCTGTCTTTGATAAATATACTTTTCATTATGGTCTGCAGCTGGATATTATTATTATTATACAATCCAACTCAAGCATCACCTAGGGCCCACTAGATCCCTCCCCTCGGAGTCTAAACACACAAGCACAGCCATTCTCTGCCTGATTTATTCTGGAGAAGATAGGCTAACATTTTGTTCAGTTAGTTCCCCAGCTTTCACTTTCTGCTTCCTTTGAAAAAGTGTGCTCCCTAATCTAATTTAGATAAACCTGGAATGCAGTCTAGGAGAATAGGTCATCATGATTTATTGTTAAATATCTAATATCATCCTCTCCTTCCCCGTAACAGTTTGGAGACCCTGAACAAAATCCCCTGATGCAAACTCAGTATAAGGGTGGACTGTACAGACAACATCAAGATCCATACCTGATAATGTAGAATGAACGTCTCCATCTGTACACCCATGAACTTTGCTTTTACCTCAAAGTCTCCGACTTCTTCCGTTGGGCTAATTTCAAATATCACATTTTTGAATCTATACAGTTTGGGGACAAAAAAATATGCTTATTGTTTTAATATGCCATTGGGAGTTGAAGTGAAGAATAAAGGGTTATTGGATAGGAATTAAGTACTTGCACTAGAGAGCTTCAGTGTGGATTTCAGACTGGAAGAACTGAAAGCAATTGTATTTCTAGGTAAAATGAGTCCCTTACTTGACCTGTCAGTCACAACGGTCTGTTTCCTTCCTCTCCCTTACCCCATCATTCCATTCTGGCATTGCCATGTCTGGGGAGCTTAGAGATTACTTTCAGTTTTATAAGACACTTGCAAGCAAGCACTGTTTTTGATGTCTAGTCCACAGAAGCACCATGAAGTGCTTCAGAGGTCTTCTACAGCTCCCACTTTGCCTCTGACAAGCCAAAAGTCCTTCTTGGGAGCCCAACTTGGCCTCAGAATTAGTCTAAATCTGATGCACACTCCTAGCAAATAGTTACACACAAACCCCCTAATCCATGAAAATGTTCCTTCCCAATTTTATCCCGGAATGCTGCTGACTGGGTGAGACTTGCCTCTGTGCATGCTGCTGTGATAAATGACATACTCACTGGCTGGCTTGCAGATCTTCAATTTCCAACAGGACTCCCTTTTCATGGAGCCGGGCTGCCGTGTATTTCAGCGAGATCTTTTTGCTCTTCTTTCCCTTCATCTCCCGTGGTTTTTTGGAAACCCTGAGGAAAAGAAGGACGGGCACCTCACTGAGAGGCATTCTCCCATATGTAGGATTTGAGGTCTGACTTGACAAGCATTGAGGCTAACAAAGACTTGACCCAAGGCACTGGGTTTTTGCCTCTCCCTCCCCACCTGGGGGGTGGAAATAACTCCCCCTGACTCCTGCTCTTCCTGCAAGCAGCTCTTTGAGAGCTAACCCTCCTTGCTCTTACGCTCTTTGTCAAGTCACCATTTTCCTTCTCTCATCACCTGGCAATCCCCCCTCTTCATTTTTTTGTTTTCATGTCAAGAGGTTTCCCAAGGACCCAGGGTACACCCACCCAACCCCACGCCTCCGGGGGCTGCCACTCACTTGCCCTTGCTGGCCAAGTTATCCAGGCACGTTTTGATATAGCTCTTGTAGTAATCCACCTGCTCCTCGTAAAAAGTCGCCTTGGAGGTGAGGGCGTTGTGGGTCTGCTGCAACTTCACCAGCTCTGCTTTTCTCCTTTGGCGATAGCGCCGCTGATTTCGAATGTCCTAGAGATTGGAGAGGGGAGGGAGAAACAGGCTTACCTTCTAACTCATCCCTACCCAGGACATTCCAAGTGTGTGCGCACATGTGCATTGAGTAGCCACCCGCATCCCCAGTCGCCTTTATCTGTCACACAGCATATGCACCTGCCAGCACAAGCCCTCTGGCTGTTAGCTCCGTTTCCCTGGATGCCGCCTACCTTGGCCACATCGTTGATCAGATCCTGGTATCTGTTCTTGGGGTTCACTGTCCCCAGTTCAGTCAGCTTCTTCAGGGCCGATTTTATCTTTTCCTTCTTTTCTTGAAGGCTCAGGTTGCTGTCCTCCTTGACCGCTTTGGATTTCTTCATCTTGTCAGGAGTTTTGGCATCCCGAATGGCTCGCCTCTGCATGGCTCTCTGGTGTTCGGCTTCCTGGGTGGGGATCGGGGTGTCAGAAAGGCTGTTGCAACTGGTCTGTCCTGGTACACACATTCCTGCCCCGCCACCCCAACATACACAACCAGAGGCCACTTGCTTGAGCCCTTCTCTTCTTTGAACAGTCAGTCACAGACTGCCGTTCCCCCTGGCCTGCGACACACTCTTGCCCCTTGGAGACAGGAAGACTTTGGCATCTGCTCCAACATGACTAAACCTCCTCCCCATTACCTGTTCAGCAGTGGCTGGAGTTTCCAGGATCTCAGTCAGTGTCTCTCCTGGCTGGAAGCGGATCACATCCACAATTAAGCGCTTTGTGCTGAAAAGCAAAAGGAAAGGAAGAATCAACGTGCCATCGCTGAGCAAGTGCCTGTTGTCTCTTCCGCCAAATATGCACCATCAGGGAGATACTCAAAAGAGGAAGGAAATCACAGAAACACCCACCCTTGACAACTCACATCTCAGCGGCACAGAAAGCTGCAGATGTTCTTACACATACATAGCCTTGCCACTGTGATTTATGAACTGTGAGCCTGAAGGCTGGGTTACTGTAATGCACTCTACGCAAGGCTTGTGCAGGGGCTGTAGCTACTGCAAAAGGAGGCCCACACCACTAACTGGGGGGCACATGGAATGCTTATTTCATGTCTCCTGAAGGAGTTGCACTGGCTGCCCATTAGCCCCTGGGCTGGGTTTAAGGTTCTGGTTATGATGTCCAAAACCTCTGAAACAGCTTGGGACCAGGTGACTTGGAGTGCCTTCTCCAGTACAGTCCCACTGGTTCCTTATGACTGGGCTAAGGGAAGCGAGTTGCCTAATCTAGGGTTGCTCAGCATTAAGGTGAATCACAAGTGGGTTAGCCCTGCCAGCTAGCTGCAAGTCCTGCCTGCTGTCTTCACCACAGGCCTCAGAAGTCTGTTCAGAAGATTCTAAGCTCTCCAGCAGTCTGCCTGGATAAAGAGTCCCTTGAGAAAGGGATCTTTCCTAGGAAAACTGGGCAAAGAAAACAAGAAGTCTGAACTGACACATCAGGAATGAGGAATGTACCCCAGCAGTCCTGATATTTAGTAAGTATGTGTATGAATTATTCTGGATTGCATCAAAAGTTTGCATTCCTTATTCAGAAAGCTGTCAATCAATTTCCTCCTTGGAGTTCACACACTGAGCATGATGGCAACACTATCTCTCACTACACCCCTAGTTTCTGAACACAGGTTTTGTGGACACAGGAATTTCAACTACTCCTTAATAAAAGCCCAGTGTGCTGCTGAATATTGCAGCAGTTGCTACGTATCAACATGTAGCAAACAGGTACAAAGAGATGCGGACTTCTGTACACCTCAAATGGCTGCTAATTACATGTGGTGGATGATCAGAACCTTGGGACAACAACTTTGCCATCCTTTTGAGGGCCCTCCTTCCCTCTTCCTCCTCTTAGATACATGATCATCAAATAATAGAACCCAACATGTTGAGAGCAAGACACATTTTTAGTTATTTCACTTCCCTGAATACTTCTGTTATTTCTGGATGTTTCCATCTTTTGTGTTTTACCTAGAAAACTGTGTAGGGGATTCAGAGTGGAGAGATGCAGGTTCAGAATCTCCACTAAGCCATGAAGCTCACTGATAAGCTTTTGGCTCCCTCCAGCCACCTTTTCTTAAAGCCTGGGCAAATTCTTTGGTGAAATGGGACAGCCCCAGGTGCCTTGGATGTGAAAGTGAGACAGGTTCAGGAGCTGTCATGGCCCCTACTTACTTCAGCAGAATTGTCTTGGCATCCATCTCTGCGTTCTCGTCCCCAGGAACATCAAATTTGTTAGTCAGTGTGAGTGAAACTTCTGTCTTGGCCAACATCTCTTTACTGGCTGGATCATTCACGCTGCCAGATCCCTCTCCTTGGAGAAAAGCAGAGCACAGGAAGAGAGTGTGGTTGTTTGCTTCACTCATTTAGTCTCTTCCCCTATGAAAACTCATTTTTTAAGTAAGTGATTTTAAATGTGTGTGTTCCTGGGTGCCAGCCGTGTCTCTTACCTGGAGGACACTATTTAATCACCTTAGGAACAGCAATGTTGACATGTGTCTGCATAGCTTTGGCTACAGAGGCCTCAATATGCAGGCAGGAGTAAGGCTGGTGGAGAGGCGTCTTAGCCCTGCTTCTGGATTGTTTGTGGTTAGTGTTTTAGCACTCAATAGATACACTTGAACTATGTTTCTCATTACTAAATGAGGAAAAAAAGCTCACCTATCAGAGATTCAATGGTGGACACCTCCCCCAGGTCATCCAGAAGCTCATGAATAGGGTCATTGTGCTCAGGAGCGATGGCATCTTGATGGTCCAAAAGCAGCTATTTTGTGAGTAACAAAGATTAGGCAAGTGAGCTGATAATAATAATAATAATAATAATAATAATAATAATAATAATATAACAATTTATTATTTATATGCCGCCCATTTGACTGGGTTGCCCCAGACACTCTGGGCAGTTCCCAACAAGAAATAGTAAAAACACAATACAGCAGCGGTTCTCAACCTGTGGGTCGCGACCCCTTTGGGGGTCGAACAACCCTTTCACAGGGGTTGCCTAAGACCAGGCTACCCATGCTACACCATGTTTCAAGACAAAATTTTACTTATTTGTAATTAGAAATAAATATTTCACAATATAATTACATATTGTTTTGTGATTAATCACTATGCTTTAATTATGTTCAGTTTGTAACAAAGGAAAATACATCCTGCATATCAGATATTTACATTACAATTCATAACAGCAGCAAAATTACAGTTATGAAGTAGCAACGAAAATAATTTTATGGTTGGGGGTCGCCACAACATGAGGAACTGTATTAAAAGGTTGTGGCATTAGGAAGGTTGAGAACCACTACAGTACAGGATGAATAATAATAATTTGTGCTTGTGATGTTTGTGATGTTTTTGTCTAGTTTCTGGTATTCTTTAGAAAAACTTTTTTATTTATACCAAGAGAGTAAAGTCTACACCACAACAGTCCAATACACAAAGGAGACTTACAGTGTGTGTGTTTATTATTTCTCCAATGGAAATATAGATCACTGGCTTCGTGAGGGTCACCAAGTCTGAATATTCATCAACATTGAACTTCTCTTGCAGCTCTGGGACTTCACAAGCAGCCTGGAAAAACCGCCTTCAGAAAGGCAAAAGAGAGTTAACCTAATCTGGAAAGTCCCGCCCCTGCCACCCCCAGCCCAGCTGGTGATGCTTTTCTGCCCCATTTCGGCCAAATAGGTCTTCACAAGCACCATATTTGTCCTCCACCAGGAGATTCTCAGCTGGGACAATTATAACACTTCACATAAGTCACTATGGTGAACAGTCCCAAGCAGCATCCTTTAAGACTGGAATGCAACACACTGGATGATGGGAACGGGAGTCACAACAACCCTGGCTTTTAAGTTTGACCACGAAGCATGCTCACCCACCCCATTTGGTGAAAGAAAATATAAAACTAAACTTTTTCTCAAGTGAGTCTCCCCTGCTAAAAATATTTCTGCGTGCCCAATTCTCAGAAAGGAACCTTATTTCCCCAGGTGACAGAACTTTTGGGGAATCTGGTGTTGTGGCTACCTAAATACAAGGGTGTATTTCAGGAGAAATTCCCAAGCAAGGTTGGACTGTGAATTTACGCCAGTCAGCCATGTCTGTGCCATGTCAGAAGCAGGCAACTTCCTGTGGGACTTTGCAAGGAAATGTGCCCCCCCCCACCAGAGAAACAGATCTCCTCCTTCCTATCTGTTCTGAATAATTCACTGTCATTGGCCCCATCATTCCTTGCTGAAAGTCATTGTCACTCTACATTACCTGAATTTCTGGTAGGACTGAGAAAGGTACTCGTTGATGATGCCTAGGTGTGCATTGTCCCCCAGGAACATCTTGTTGGATGCTGCATGCTGCAACATTTTTGCAATGGAGCCGAGGTTTCGCCGTTGGTCTGTCGTCAGCTGTCCTCCAGCTGACAGATCAATGATGTCAAAGGCATCCGGAGCCACAATGGCCGGGTTCATGTAGCGATAGTACAGAAGGTTGCCTACAATCTAGGGAAAGAGTCCTTTGTGACCTCACCTTGCCTGGAGGAAGCCACTTTCACCAATTCTGTCCCCCACCGCCAACCTGCTCAGTTGCACAAAGAGGCAGAGGGGAGGCAATAGGGCTTTAGAAAGGAAAGGAAGCCGCAGGCATTTGGGAGCAGGCAGGCAGGCAGCTGCTGTTTTCCTCACTTCGGAAGAGAATGAGCCACATTGGGAAATGCAGCTGAGATGCGGAAAAAGCCAGGAAGAGCCAGAAACAAGGCAAGGACTTGGCAAACGGAACATCCAGCACGGACGCCCCGGGGCAGATCATTTCTCAGCTCCGCTGGGTGGCTACATTAAGCAGGTGCCATTTGTCTGCTTGGAGACAGGCCAGGAAAGAAAGGGAGGGAGGGTTGGCTCCCATGGAAGTGCCTTGGAGCTATAATCTTGCCTTCCCAACAGCCTCACCAAAAGCCTCAAAAGGCAGTAGTCAAAGAAAGCCACAGGCTAGGAAGTTTTCACTGCTGGACTATGGGGAATAGTCAGTGATCCATGGGCTAAGGGCTCTCAGCTCTTTCCCCAGAGATACGGAGAAGCCAGGAGTTCACAGGCCACGTTAATGAAAAGTTGAATGGTTTCAGCTCATTGGCTGCTCTAGCAGCTCCCCCCACCCTGAATTGGGCACTTCCATCCTGACTCTTCGCTGCTACCCTGTGGCCGCTGCAAGCTCCTCCGCCTGCTTCCCACCTAAAGGCATGCTTTAAAAAAGGAATTCACCTGCAGAGAAAGCCTAGATTCGATGCTTCAGTGTGGGAAAGCACAGAACTAGAAGAGAAGAAGAAAACAACAGCATTCAGGTCTCTTTTTTAGAAGAAGGCACAAGATGGCTCTTTATCTTTGAGAGAAACTGCCAGGCACAAGGTCACGACAGTCCCCAAAACAGGACAGACCCACTGGACGGAAAGGCCATCCTCGTGAGTTCTCTCGGGCTTTAAACTTATATGAAAAGAGAGTGCCACTGACCATCCACCAGAGAGACATCCTTTCTCTTTTGAAAAACATTTTTTTAAAAAGTTTATTTGACAAGCTCTCTTTTTTAAAAAAAGGAAAGTGGCACAGGCTGCTACTGAGACCAAGAGTGGCCACTGGCTGCAGCTCTTTAGAGAGAAGGAAGAAGCCCAGCAGAGAGAGAGAGAGAGAGAGAGAGAGAGAGAGAGAGAGAGAGATATATGCAGTAGAAGCAGCGAGTCCACCCCCCCTCCGCTCTCAAAGCAGCCCCCACCTCCATGCTCACCTAGGTCGCTGGAGCTGCAAATGTGATTGACAGGTGGTCTGACCAAGAGAGCGCGAAGCAAGTGGAATATGTGTGTGTGTGTGTGTGTGTGTGTGTGTGTGTGTGTGTGTGTTTGGGAAACCCTGCTTCCTCACCTTCAGCAGATCATCCTCACTGGCGTCAGGAAATTTTTCGTGTAGTGAATCTTTCAAGACCTTGGCAATGAAGCGCATGCCGTAGCTGTAGAGGGAGAACAAGGCCAGGAATGAGGAGAGAGGCGGAGAGAAGCTTAGAAAGACCCTCCTCCGCCTGCATCCGCCCGAGGGGCAGCTTGGGACACTCACGGGATTTTCTCCAGGGAGCCGATGATGGCCAGCAGAAACTTGTCGGTGATGGCCCGCATGTTCTTGATGGAGGCATCCAGGCGAGTCTTGACCTCCTCGTGGGCCAGGGCTTGCTCCGGAGTGACGTCGTAGGGCAGCTTGCTGTCAAGGAAAGGCGGGTGAGTGGTGGGAAGTGTCGGCTGGAGGGTGCTGCCGCTTGCACCCCCCTCTTAGCCCTCCAGCTTATGCTGGACAGACACAACAAACAGCACATGTGCATAAACAGCCATCTGGATCCTGCCCAGGGGGCACCTGGTGACAGATCAGCCCTATTTGAGGTGGGGTGGGGAGAAAGAAAGGCCCACAGGTATGGGCTCTAAGGGAGTCTTCTGTCCCAATCATCCTTCCCAAAGGATGGTGGGTGGCAGGTAGCCCAGAGGGCAAGGGGGGGGACATAAGGGGTCCAGCAGGAGCTTTGGGTTTTGAGGTCTTTGCCGACATCCCTCTCCTATGACCATCTAACCCTTGATAAATGCCCCCAAAGCAGAAGGGAGGAATGAAGGAAGCAGCTTTCTATATCGCTCTTTATTGAGAACATGGTTTTTTAAAAAATGGCTCTAAACCTTTTGCCAGGTTCAGCTCACCTTTGTGCCCTGGAATGACTACATGACCTTTCCTAAGGCCATGACTGTGAGGCCTCCAAGTCTAAATATTTAATCTTACGTATCAGTGAATGGAATCTATTTTTAAAACTTTTGAGGGGAGAAAGGAACTTTTCAGATACAAGCCGCCACAAAATGTGAAAATCCAAATGAGGATGTGTGCTGATTCAGGGCATGACCCACCCAACCCGGGCTTCTCTTTCTCTCCCCTGAAAAACATCCAGACCCCTTTTGGCACCTCCTGTGAGCATGAACAGCCCCTCATACCTGGCCTCTCCGGTCTGTGACTCCATCTGGTTGACCCAGGACTTGTAGATGTCCACTGGATCAGTTTTAATATTGAGAGATTTGTCCTCCATGATCTCCTTCACAACTGGGGCCAGGATCTGCCTCAAGGTGTTCTGTCCACGAGCACCACGGTTGAAGCTCACCACCATCTTGATCACTGTGGGGTTTCCCGTCACAATCTCTGCAGCTGATCCACCTTTGATCTGGAAGAAGGTGAGAAAGGCTTGCTGGAAACACATGTGGATGAAAACCAGCTTACTTTCCCAGCAGAAGATGCTGGTACCCAAGCCCAGAGGGTGGCCTTCCAATTTTCATACTTCTCTTTCATACATTCCTGTTGTTGTTGTTGTTGTTGTTGTTGTTGTTGTTGTTGTTGTTGTTGTTGTTGTTGTTGTCTTCATCCTCAGGTTTTCAGATCCAGCTTTTGTTTGCAGGTTGTTTCAGAACCTTCAACCAGGAGGAGTTTCCTCCCCGCCTCTCCTATTAGTCAATGGCCGGCCAGCCTCCCACCAAGAGGGAAGCACAAGTACCTCTGTCTGTCTATCTATATCCAATTTACATACCACCCTTCATCACAAAATCTCAGGGTGGTGCACCTATTCCAATGTGAAAGGGGCCCCCACACCACTATAACTGAGAATGCAAAGTCAGGGGGAAAGCAATGTTCTTCTTTTTGAGTATTTCAATTTAATAGTTTAAATAGCTTTATTGCTCCTCCCATTTACAACCACGTGCGAGCATTTACTGCTGACCACATGGCAAACTCATGCCTGGCCTTCCAACTTGGGAGCCAAAAGTGACAGCAGGAACCAGAAGCCCAAAGAAAGCTGCCCTCTGTGACAGGCGTCTGGGCTCCACGACTCCCCATGGTAGCCAAGGGCTGCACCTCTACTAAAAAAATGAGAGCCCAAAGCGCGGTGAACAGCTGTAGCCTAACAGGTGTCTTTACGCCCTATGCAGAGTTAAAGGCTCCCGCCCACGTACTTGATCTCCTCCTGCAGTGCAGTCTTGAAGAGGCGCAGCAACAGGTACTCCTCCCGCTGATTGGAGGCGTAGTTGTACAGCGTGAAGATGACAGAGTCCATGAATTTTGTGGATTTGTTCTGGGGCATTTGGAAAATCAGCTTAGCCAGGTAGGTGGGGTTAGTCTGCGGCGAAACAAGGAGGGGATCATGGAGAGCAGTTCACGGAGAGAAGAGAAGGAGAAGAAGGTCACCTCCCGTTACAGCTCCTCCTCTCTCCTCACCTGCAGCAAGTAGAAGAGATGCTGATAGGCCTCCAGCTTCTCCCTCTTCTCTTTGCTCAGAGCCTTCAAGCCTCCCCTTTGCTTGTTCAACATCATCATGTCCGAGAGCTGCTCCTTATTCTTCTTGGTAAGCTTCTTGCTGTGAGACACAACATCCTGCAGCGAGGAGGGAAGGGCAGAGGGGAACTCAGAGCCTGTGCTTAGCAACCCATCATTTCCCTGGGACCCTGGCTTCGTCTCCTGCCGCTGACTCTGGCAGACCTGGAAATACTGGTTAGCACCTTTCTGGCCCGCAAATCCAAGTTTTCCTTACCTGCTGAGCAGTATCAGTAGATCTATCAATCATTGAAATGGAAATATTGGGACAGTTCCCAATTCCCAATTCCCTTGAATTGTTTGGGGCCTCTTATCTTCGCAGATACACAACCCACCATATTCAGAGGTACAGGATACCCCCGACCGTCACATTATGTGGATGTGGCCATCTTTCTCATCAGCCACAGGACAACTGACAGATAACTGATCTGGTCTGGCAGGGAAATTATTGACAAGAGGGAGACTGTTGCTTTATGAGCTCTAACAAACACCTTCAGTGGCTACTAACAAACACCTTCAGAGCCCACCTTACACAACTGTGTCCTCGTTGCTTGAGGAACTTGGCAAGGGGGATTGCTCCCCTCCCAGACAGTGGGGAATATACCTGCAGCGTGATTTTGTTCTTCACCAGCAAGCCAATTTTTATGTCCATGAGGTTGAGGTCATTCTCCAGCTGCTGATTGGAGCGGATCAAGGTCACGACCTCCTCACGCAGCTTCATCACGTCCAGTTCCTCTTGGAAATCTTGATCGCTCTGATCCAGCAAGTGCACAAACTTCCGGACAACCGCCATTGGGGGGTCTTCAGCATTGACTGTGGAGGGAAAGACGCCAGCCAAGGAATGGTGACAAATGCTGATGGCACAAAAGGAGCAGGCCTTTCATTTATTTACACGAGAGAATCGCTCTTTCTTGTGTACATAAGAAGCAGACAGAATGAAAGGAAAGAACCCAAGCCCCTCCATTTTGCCCCGTTTTGAAGGGGAGGGAGGGGGTGGGGAGGTCTAAGGAGCGAAGGCAGGCTCTCAGCAGAAACAGGACAGGCAAGTGAAGCAATCCACTTCTTAATAAGCTTTGGCGAGGTCACATGCGAAACCCACTTCCACAACCAAAATAGCTAGGGCCGAATATTGCCATGGTTACCTCACAATGCCAGTTACAGAGAAAAGGGTGGTCCATCAGCTTCCACTGAGTGGCTTTGTCCCCTTATGTCCCCTGTGGGACAACTGGATTGTAGGAAACCAATGAAAAATGGCAGCCTTCCTGCTTGCCACAACAGTCCCTTCTTGGGCAGTTTCAGGACATGACTAGCTGCGTGGGCCTCCCTTCCTGGCAATACTCACTCAGCGTCTTGTAGTCATCGCGAGCTTTATTGGCACGGATGAAGGCCTGGATCTTCACAATGTCATTGATCTAGCCGAGAGACAAAAGCAAACCCTTTGCCATCTTGTGCTTTCATCTACACCCCTCCACTCCTGGATGTCACTGGACTGCAACCTCCACGATCATCATCATGATTGACACCACCATCATCCATTGGCCCTGCTGGTCACCAGGGCTGATGGAAGGGAATCCAGCAATCCCAGGCGCCCCACCTGTAATGCACTTACATGATCCCGGAAGTACTGCAGCCGACCTCGGTACCGTTTCCGGGCCTGGTACATCCTGGTCATGGCTTGAATCTGTGGAAGATGGAAAAAATTGAAAATGGGTGCTCCACTAAACTGAGTAGGGGGGAAAGGAGGGAGAATGGGGCTCTGGGACCTCCTGCTTTCTGGTAGAGAAGGGTAGGTGGAGCCCCTGGCTTTGTATCCTCAACCTGGCTGCACGTGGGGCAGATGAAGCCCCCTCCTTTGCTCTCCTTATAATGCCAGGTGAGGTGACAATCCATGGCTGAGCTTTCCAATCTTGGCTGAAGCACACCATGCACCAGGAGATGCCTTGCATGGGTGTGAGGTGGGAAAGGAGGCTTCAAAGCAGGTGGCCGAGTCATTTTCTAGGAGGTTACTGTGGACACATTTGGGAAGGAGTCGGCCTGAGTAGTGCTTGGCCCTACGGAGGGGATGTTGTTTTTGTTTTGCCTGCAGGCACCATGGCAGTGAGGAAGAGGGAAGCAGATGGCCAAAAGAGGAACAGGACCTTCTTTTCCTTTCCTTTCCTTTTTTTTGCGGGGGGGTGGGGGAGAGTGAGAGGTTAACTGAGAGAGGCAAAGCAAGTAGAAGAAGATCAGGCAAAAGGGGATCAGGGCAGACAACCACTGCCGGCCTTTTTCTGGAAGAGACATGGGAATATTGCTGGCCTCTTGTGAGAGGGTGGGGAAGCGAAGCAAGCACAGCCAAAGAGGAGGGGGCATGACTTGGGGCTTGGTGGAAAGGCCCAGAAGGCTGGATTAGACCCATGGGCCAGAGGATCTCATATCTGGATTCATAGAATTCTAGAGTTGGAAGGAACCCTAAGGATCATCTAGTCCAACCCCCTGCAATGCAGGAATATGTAGCTGTCCCATATGGGGATTGAACCTGCAACCTTGGCGTTATCAGCGCCACACTCTAACCAGCTGAGCTATCAAGGTGGACCCGGTCTGTTTGAAAGCAGAGGTTGCCAACTCTTTGGGGCTAGTGGGCATACGAGAATTTTGTGGGTGCCGGTTACAAAATGGCTGCTGCGAGGGCATGGCCTAACATAAAATGGCCGCCACATCTAAAAGAGTGTGGGAAATTGTTGGCAAGCATAAATATGTATAAGTGCTATTTGGAGTACGAAGGGGTTAAGACCAGCCACTAGGAGTCCCAGAGGGCTTGGGCTGAGGCAAGGAAGTGGGAAGGGAAGGAGACCACCAGTTTTATCCATCCTGGAAAGACAGAGTAGGTGTGGGGTGGGGTGAGCTCCAATTCCAAAGTGCCTGACCTAGAAAGATAATTACCTTCACCGCTTCGTCCTTGTGGGCCTCCAAGTACTTCAGGCGGTCTTGATAGGCCTTTCGCTGCTTGTAGCCACGCCACTGAGACTGAAACCAAACCCAACACCAGGTTAGAGGCCTCCTTTCCCTGACTGCTACATCTCCTGTATGCTTCTGCACCCCCCCACTTCCCTCCAGTCTGCACCCCCAAATTGATCACAGCTGGGGACAGCCACTGCTTCGCTTTGTTCAGCTACTGGACCAAAAACAGCCCCTACTGAAAACCAAACCACCTCAAAATGAGGGACTCTGAAGAGAAACAGTGCCAAGGAGCGTGGCACTGTAATGAGCAGCAAACAGGATCTGGGCTTTCAGCAGCATGGCCAGCTCTCTCCAAAGAGCCTCTCTCACCCAGATTTGAAAACAAGGAACCAAAATACCCACCACCCTTGCAACAGATACCCCGGGGGAGCTTAAAGCTTAAACAACCTTACTCCCCTACCCTAGCAGGAAAGACCAAGAAACTCTTCCAAGCCAATGCTGGACTGTTCTCCTGCATGACTTGGTTGGGGCAAAAGAAGCAGGGACTTAGGGGGGCTGCATGGCCCATTGCTTAGCTGCCCATCACTCTGGCACCAGAACTGGGCTCCGCAAATTCTCCACAGCCGTGAGATACAGCCTGCGGAACATGGTATCCCCAGCCAGCAACCGCAAACAACAGAATGAGAACAAAAGGGTTGACTGTGGGCACCTTGAAGAAGCCCAGCCGACAGACCAAAGGAAGCTTTGCCAAGTGGGTACCGCCACAGACCAGCCACATTACACATCCCTGACCCAGAGTTCCCCACCCTCAATGCCCACCCCCGGCAGCTCTTTGCTTTCTCTCCCCAAGTTCTCCCTGCCCTCCCACCACCAGTTCCCCCTGTACCTGGATGCAGGTGATGGCAGGAACCTGCTTCTTCAAGAAACGCATCCGGCCACTGAACTCCTGGCGGACAAGGTAGCCGCGGCAACAGGCCTGCAGCCTGGTAATCAGGTTCTCGTTGGCCAGCCAGAGCTGCTCTCGGTTGTACGCGGCGGTGACGGCGGAGATGGAGCTCTAGATCGCCGTTGGCCCGGGGAAAGGCAGTTGGGGGGGGGAGGGAAAAAAACTCAGCACCTGGCCAAAAGGCAACCAACACCCATCCTTGCCCCAGAGGCAGGTCCCTCAACTCAGGGTGACCCAAGAGAACGGCCTTTGCTTGCAACGGAAGGAGTTGCTGCCTCTGGTGCTCCCGGCATCACCTCAGGGAGTGTTTATTCACTGTACCTTCAGGGACCTTTTAACACTTAGCCTTTGCTGCCCTTTTGCCACTGTGTAGGGCTACTACCAGGTTTTAATGTCATTTTAATATTTTGCTGATATAATTGTATTTTATGGTTTTTATCTGGAATGTAAACCATTATTATTATTATTGTCATTATTATTATTATTATTATTTATCAAAGCACCTGAAGTTTATGCCATAATACATTTCTTAGTGTTTAAGGTAAAAAGGTAAAGGTACCCCTGCCCGTACGGGCCAGTCTTGCCAGACTCTAGGGTTGTGCGCCCATCTCACTCAAGAGGCCGGGGGCCAGCGCTGTCCGGAGACACTTCCGGGTCACGTGGCCAGTGTGACATCGCTGCTCTGGCGAGCCAGAGCCACACACGGAACGCCGTTTACCTTCCCGCCAGTAAGCGGTCCCTATTTATCTACTTGCACCGGGGGGGGGGGCTTTCGAACTGCTAGGTTGGCAGGCGCTGGGACCGAGCAGCGGGAGCGCACCCCGCTGCGGGGATTCGAACCACCAACCTTTCGATCGGCAAGCCCTAGGCGCTGATGCTTTTATCCACAGCGCCACCCACGCCCTAGTGTTTAAGGTACTACGAGGCTATTCTTTTTGCTGCAACGATCTCATATAGCTACTACCTTACAATTTTCCAGGCATTGTACCAAGATTAGAAAAGCAGGCTGTGCCCACAGGTTTACAATCTAATAGACTTGGCACAAAAGGAAAGTGGGATGGGGAGGGAGGAGGAAAACCAGCAAACTTAAGACCCATTGCTAAAGTTACGTAATAGCTGTTATAATGAGCAGCTGGAAGGGAGGGGAAGAACCAAATGACAGGTGGGTCCCACTTCTCCACTCTATCATAGTTCTGTTTTAAAGAAATAGCGAAAAAAAATCTTGCAGCAGAAGCACCCACAGCTGCCCCCTGAAGTCATAAAGGGCCTTGCACATGTCAGTGACTGAGCAAAGGAAATCAAGGGTCACTTGAGAGGGGGCAAAACAAACCTGATACCCTGCGATGACACCCCTCCCTTGCACTGAACAGGTCAAGAGGCACTTGGCCCTGATTTGGTGGTGCTGAGGACTAGAGGAGGCGGCACACGCGCAACATACCTGGATATCCTCCCGGGAGAGCTGTGTGTTATTTGGCACAAATCCTCCCTGGGGCTCTTCCCAGCTTCCTTCTTTGGTCCTCAGGTTATGGTAATAATGGTAGCCTCCCTTCACCCAGTGCTTCACCCACTCACTGCCGTTGTCTCCTGGAAGAAACGGGATGTCGTGGGGAGGGGGCCAAAGAAGCCCTTCTTCTCTGCCTCCGTGAGGAGGAACTGTGGGGCTCTGTGGCACAATGTGCGCAGACACTGCCAGGCAGCAGAGCAGGGAGAGGAGGCAAAGCTGGCCTGGATGGCCCAAAGACAGCCTAGCTGTCAACACAGCCTCTCCCCTCCGTCAGTCCAGGCCCCTGCAGACCACACTCCCCATTCCTCTCCAGCCCCCGCCTTCACCTGCTGCCAGCTTCGTCCTCTTGACTTCCGCCAGCTCCTGCTGATACGTGTCGGCACACTCTGGGGTCACGCCATACAGCCCTACGTCAGCTGAACGCAGGCAGCCCAGGGTCACCCCAACATCTCCCTGGTCCACTGCCTCGTTGATGGCCAGGATTCCTACAGCAACTGAGATAAAAGCAAGAGAAGCCCTTGCGACCTCTGCAGAGACACAGGCCAAAACGAAGGGAGAGGGTGGAGGGGAGTCTGAGCGACCACAAAAATGAACGTCTCCACCTCCATCGTTCTGCCCGGACACTGAAGTCCAGCGCCGAGGGCCTTCTGACGGTTCCCTCGCTGCAAGAAGCCAAGTTACAGGGAACCAGGCAGAGGGCCTTCTCGGTGGTGGCGCCCGCCCTGTGGAACACCCTCCCACCAGATGTCAAAGAGAAAAACAACTATCAAACTTTTAGAAGACATCTGAAGGCAACCCTGTTTAGGGAAGCTTTTAATGTTTAATAGGTAATTGTATTTTAGTGTTTTGGTGGAAGCCGCCCAGAGTGGCTGGGGAAACCCAGCCAGATGGGCGGGGTATAAATAATAAATTATTATTATTATTATTAAACACCGCAGTGAACACTGGCCATTTTACAAGGAGGTCTCAGGCTACTGACTTAGACCTGCAACCTCCCAAGAGACAAAACAGAGACATCCTTGACCCCTAGGGCTAAAATGACCCTAATGCCAGTTGGGTATTAGCATGCAGGCTTCTGGGAAGTGTGACCAGGAGAAATGCCAGTGTTCAAACAAACAGAACCTGCTTCCCACCTCACTGGCATGGTTGCATCTTTAGATGGGAACAGAGATTGGCAGCCCCCTCCCCCCCAAAAAACCACTGAAAAGATGACAGGGAGACTCACAGCACTGGGCTTCCTCTGTGTCCCTGTTTGACTGGAGAACACCCCCCTGGATTTCATCCAGCCAGAGGACAGCCGTTTCATCCCGAGTTTCCTGAAAGCAAAGGAAAGCAAAGTTCATCCCCAGCAGAGAAACTGAAGCCAAATGGAAGAGAGGGTATCATACCCAGGGGAGGGGCAAAAGGCCTGCTTTGCCTCTCAATCTTCCCAGCCCACTCCAGTCTCAGCCAGTACAATTTAGACATGCTAGATGACTGGCATGCAAAGCAACATTTGCCTCCACCTGCAGACTGGCTCAGTTTTAAACTAAAATCCATTTAGCTAAATGGCACCCAGTCCAGCTTGCCTCAAACGAAGCACTGATGAAGAGTGAAATAGTCTCTCTTCGAAAGGGATGGTGGCGGGTCCTGCCATCATCCCTGACCATCGGCTTTGCTGGCGAGGGCTGATGGAAGTTAGAGTCCAACAGTATCCTGAGGGCACCATATTGGCTACCCCTTGCTCTAAGTGGGTGAAAGGAGATTGGCCGGGTCCCTGCCCTCAGAGAACCAGAAATTTTCCTGATGGGCCAAACGAGACTCAACAGAAGCTCATGAACATAAAGGTGGCTGGGAACAAGCAATGCTATTAATAAACATCAACATTCCATACCAATATCATTCCAACGAGGACCCCAAAGCTGCAGCAGAAGTTGCACACCTTGTCAGTGCACAGACAGGAGGCCACTCAAAGGCCCCTGAGAGCCAACAGAAGCATCACTGCCATCCTCCCTGGGTGTCAAAGGACGGCCCAGGTTATCTGGCCTGGCCCTGCTAAAGTATGGGGCTGTGGAACACTCCCAGCGGAGGAGTCAGACAATGAAAACCTCCCCACCCCTGGATGAAGGGAGGGATGCCCAACACACCTGAGCTTTCTCCCTCTTGGTGCGGAGCAGCACATCTTGGTAATGCTGTGCTACTTTGGGGGTGACCCCCTCCAGCTTTGCTGCAGGAATCTGCAGCGCCTGCAAGGTCTTCCTCGCATCTCCTTCGTCCAAAGCCTCATTGATGAGCCCGATTGCCAAGATCCCTGGAGTAAACAGGACAGAAAGGAAGGATGAAGGCAGGGGGGATCTCTAGGGGCACATGAGGCACCACCCGGTAGACCTTCTGCTCCTGCTCTCTGCTGGCCCACACACTGCAACTGTTAGGCCAGGCACCTGAGGACAAGGCCAGGAAAGGAAGGGGAAAGCCCTCCCCAGTTTACTGAAAGGGCTGAGGGAGCAGCCAGGGTTGACTGGAGGAGCCCACAGAGGGGAGCAGGCAGGGAGGGCTGACTTTGCCGTTTATTCCCTCTAAAGGCTTATATGCCACCCTTTAGGGAAACCACTTTCCCAAGGTGGCTTTCATGCAGTATTAAAATATAAAACAAATTACAGAAGTCATATACTAGCCCTAAATATGAATTTATAGAGCTATAGAAGACGTTGTAAAAACCATACACCAGCCATAAAAACCCTAATCGGACTGGCTGAGTTCAAGGCAGCTAAAACCTGACAAGGCCTCTGACTTAATCTTGTTCCTCAGAGCAACAGAAGCACCTGCGGAACACAAGAGATGCTGGACCCTGGAGGAGCTGCCTCCCTCTGATGAGACCCACTTCGCCCTTGCTGACGTTCCCGGGCTGAAGAAGGTCCTCCCATTCTCCTGCCCCTGAGGAGGAGGAGCACCGTCTCCTCCCTCAAGGGAGACACTGACCTCGCCCTAACAGAGGTCGAGTGCACAGGGAAGACAAGATGGGCCAGACTTTCAACAGCACATCCTGGCATGCTATCTTGCCTGGTTAGCATCCCAAGTGTTTGGGGTTGCACCGTGTTATTTTCAGCCCACAACTTCCTGTTGATCTGATACTTTTATAGATAAAGCAACCACCTGACTAACCTATGACAGTCTGGGCTAGAAAACTGCCTTGCGTGGCCACCAATTGAACTAGCTATTGGCCACGCAAAAGACACATACTCCACCTCTGAATATGCCCTTCTGTGCTTTGCTGCCTTCGCATCCATTCCCGGAATGGCGCCTTGATCTCACCAGTGATCTCAGGCTCACTAAGAAGTCCTGCCCACCCAGTCATGGCACCAACAGGACCAGTGCAGGACTTTCGGATCCCAAGCCACCAACTAGCCCTGATGGGGCTTGGATGGAGGCCTGGGCAAGAAGGGCGTCTCCCCGGGAAGTTTCCACACCCCAAGAGCCACTTACGCTCATGCTCTTCGTGCACTACCACGTTCACCCGGTCAACGCACGACTGGATGTCATTCCATGTGATGAACTCGGCCCCTTCGCTCCGTGCCTGACTCTTCAGCTTCAGCAAGTCCTCAATGTATCTGCCGAGAGTCAAGACAGCACACGTCAAGGGGCTGGCCGCTTAGAGAACAAAACATGAAGACGCAGGCAAGGCCACAGGAGATGAAGGAAGCAGAAGGCCTGCGGCAAAAGGCACCATATTCCCAGTGGCAATGATCTGGCGCACACGAATTCAAAGGGGTTTGCCTGCAGGAAACCCTTCAGGTCCTGCTCCCCTGGCCTAACCCTGAGGGTCCAAAAGCCAGAGCCTCAAAAGGGGCTCTCGCAGGCCTGAACTGTCCAATCACTATTTCTACCCCACTTCCCGGAAACCACTTGTCACTTCCTTCCTACTGGCCATTGGAGGTGCTGTTGGGCCCTCTGGTCCATCCCCAGAGCCTCCACTTGGGACTCAGAGGACTCTGGGTCACGATGCCAGAGGGCCTAACAGGTCCCATTTCCTGCGTCTCCTCCCATTTCGGCCATCTTGAGCTGCTGCTGCTGCAGCAGCAGCACTTCTCAAGAGAGAAAGGCTGGTGGGTGTGTTGTGGAGTGGGGTGGAGTGGAGTGGGGGTCTGACCTCTGGGAGTTTTCATCCTCGACATTTGTCAGACCCGTCACTGAGCTGCTCAGCTGCTTCCAGACCATGTTGACATCCCCGGAGTCCAGAGCTCGGTTGATGAGGGCCACTGAAGAGAGCATCTCCACAGCCACCGACAGTTCTGGGTGTGTGAGGTGACCCTGAGGAGACAGAGAAAGAGGACCATGCTGACCACACAAAGTGGGGAAAGGGAGCCTGGGAAGGGAGGCCAGGACTGCAAGGCCTCAGGGGTGATGGTATTGGCTAAACTCCACTGGCAGAATGTCAGGGGGGGAAGGGAGGGATCTGGGTCTTATCATTTCTTCCTCTCTCTGAGCAAAAGAAGCATTCTGCAATATCCCTAGAAGGCCGGACTAAAAGCCTGACTTGGAGGGATCTACTTGTGTACATTAAGTAGACATGGACAAGAGGGAAAAGCCCAGACCACATCGGCAAAAATACCAGAGGTATTTCAGAAGCAAATGGTAGGAGAAAACCTCAGCACCCCCCCCCCGCCCCGCCAAGTTCAGCCAGCCAGCCAAGAAGCCCCCCGCCAGGCACAGCCAAGCACAGCTTGTTCCACCTTCCCCAAATGCTCATCCCAGCATGAAGTCCCAGCGATGCTGCAGGAGGAGAGAAGGATGAAGGTGCCCCTGGGAGGCAGAGTGGCCGGCATGCTTGCACATGCAGCTCCTGGAAGAGCTTCTTGTCAAGTTCACATCCCACATCCTGCAAAGGTCATGTTCAACACTGCATACACATGCAATAGGGAAACATGCATTTCTCACGGATGCACACAGCCCTGGCAGGAATGCCCAAACAACGTCTCACAAGGGCAACTTAAAAGCAAACCATCAGCAAAAGCCTTCAAGGGACTTACGTCCGGACTCTGCTGCTGCAGGGTGGCCAGTTCCTTCTGGTACAGCTCAGCAGCAAACGGATAGACTGGAGGCAGCTGGGCCTCGGGGTTCATCAGTTCCACCACTGTCTTCTCAGCGAGGCCGTTGCGGATGGCTGTGTTGATCCTCCCCACAGCTGCCAATCCTGGGAGCCCAAGGAGAGAGGAAGGAAAGGTGAGAGGCTGAAGCTTTTGCTCCCCTGGAGGCTGCTGGGCATACCGGCAGGGAGGCACTCCCCTTTGCCAGGAACAAGCCAGGTGCACCAAGAAGAATAACAGCGATGGCAGATTGCTGGCCCCCGAGAACAACTCCTAGGGAGGATGCCAGGTGACCTGCTTCTTCCTCTTCCAAATGGACAGAGGTGAACAAGGAGATCTGGCTGCTTTAAGCAGCAGGCAGCAAAGCACCATGCCTTCCCCTCACGGGGAAACTGTCCACTTCAACCACAGCAGAGCCCAAGGCAACAGGTTCCTTTGGGGCTGCAGGACTGCTTTTTTCACAACAGGAACAATGCTTCACCTGAGGTTCTTCCCTAAGGGAGTGAGGTAGTGGGAGGGAAGGACTTGACCCCACCCAGCAGTGCCAGTACATCCCAAGGGAAAGATGCTCAAGGGCACCTGGGCCACAGGGGAGGGGAAATGGAAGGGTGTGTCAGCCACAGACACATTAAACAAATGAAGGTAGAAAAAGATGAGGAGGGGATTAATAAAGAAAGAAAGAGTGAGATGGCATGTTCTTAGTGGAAGGAAAAGTGAAGCTGGGGAGGTTGCTCTCACAGCAGTCACAAGAAAACTGGGTGGGAGTTCAGCCCCCTGCCCAGACACCCCTCAGAACCTGCAGGAAGGGAGGAAGGAGGGGTGAATGGAGGACTTGCTTTCCAGCTGAAGCACAAGAAAGGCCTGCCCTGTCCAGCTGCAAAACCCAAACTGCAGGGGCCCCACAGAGGAGAACTTACTCTGCTGGTACTGCTGAGCCATGCCATTTGCCACGTCCACCCCGGCCTGCAGCTCCTCCTTCTGCAAGGGCCCAGCTCTGCCAGCCTGAGAGGGGAAAGAGTAGACTTGTCTGCACTGCCTCCAACATCCCCAGCAGATCCAGAACCTCCCTTTATTTCCTTTCCTCTGACCCCCTTATTCATGACCGGGAACGTGGAGGAGGCGGCGGCAGCATTCTGTGCAACGCCTCCCACAATTCCCAGCGCTTGGCCAAACATGGAGAGCGGCAGCTGGGCAGTATCTCAAAGCAGAACAGGAAGTTTGCTCTTGGAGAAGAGACCAAGAATAGGTCAGGCCAACCGGATTAGGAAGCCAGTGGCCAATGCTGAACAAAAACTTAATAGTTGCTCAGGGCCACCATGTATTCACGGGGTCTGTGATACGTGGCTGTATGTGTTGTTGGTCCTTAAGACATCCTGGGTCCCAAGTGCACACCAGCGGAAGGAGCTCCTTGTGAGCCAGGCGCCAGGACCACCCACCCGCTGGCTCCCCTACCTCCATCTTCTGCTGCTTGTCCCTCAGAAGCTGCTTCAGGTACCAGTCGCTATTCTCCGGCCGCAGCCCCCGGAGACCCAAGGCTGCCGATGACAGGACAGCGTACAGTGCGGCAGCGTCTCCTTGGTCCAGAATCAGGTCGATCTTGGACAAGGCCGAGTGGGCTGAGGAGAGAGAGAAAGAGAAGGAAAGCTAGACGGAGCTGGCCTTGGGTAGGCCTCCTCAGGAGGGCTTCTTCACCTCCACCACCCCATGCAGAACCCCAAATGCTCCCCATGCCTGAGATGTCCCAGAGCACAACAGAAGGTTCTAGAAGCCAGTGGGGGGGGAGTGGCAATATGGACAGAGGATGGTCTCTCCTGGCAATTTGCCTACCCCGTCCTGCTGCTAAGTCTCTAGTTCGGCATCTCAAGCACATTCATGAGGCAAATGTAGCCCACATAGAAGGATAGTGTTGGAGCATAGTTTTTGGGGAGGGGTGTAGGTTTTTTGGGGGGTGGGCATCCAGAGATGGGGTTTTCTGCTTCCTAAAGGAGCTTCTTGGGCAAAGAGTGTCTCTTCTTGAGCAAAGAAGCCAGGAGTGCTAGGATGGGGCTGATGGGCTTACTGTTGACTTTGTTGACATTGCCCTGGATCTCTGCTTGAGTCAGCAGCTCTTCATACACGTCCCTTTCCCTTTCCATATCCTCAGAGGCAATCTGAAGGAAGAAGGGAGAAAACAGCAGTCAGGACAGGAGCACCTCCTTAGAGCTGCCTTTGGGGAGCGGTGGCAAAAGCTTCCCAAGCTGGGAGGCGCTGGCATGGGGCTAAACGGGCTGGCGGATACACTAGACCCACGTGGAGACACTGCTGCAAGGGCCTCTAGGCCTTCCTCCCCACTGCCCAAAAGCAGGAAGGCGCTTGGAGACTCAACACTGAGTTCCTGCAATGAAAGGGAACATTCCCTGTCCCCCCCATCCTCCTCCCGGACCAAGCAGCGCTGCCAGAGGCACATTCCCAAACAACTAGCAAGAAATAACTGAAGCATCTTGTGCAAGACACGTGGCTGCAAGGCAATACCAGCTTTCAGAGCTGCATCCCAACGCTGCAAACGTGTATTCAATCAATCTACTGCAGTGTCAGGGAGCATTTCTAAACTGAAGGGAGCATTCCTATCTGGGCAATCTTCCAGAGGCCACATACCAGCAGCGCACAGGGCCAGAGGCAAAAGTGGGTGGAGCAACTGATGCAAATTTCACCTCTGCACAGTTCACAGTAGGCTAGTTACTACACAAACCTAGAATTTGCATTGCCAGACATCAAGTGCACATCCTACCACACAAAAACAATCAAGGAGAGTAAACTGGACTGGGGAGGCATGTGGCTTAGGAGGGGGGGTGGCCTGGGGAGAGTAACAGTTTAATCACACTTTCCTTACTGCTTTGAACTTTATAGGGAAAGCTGTGTGTTAACTATCACAGTCTGGTTTGCAGACAGACAGAAAGAAATTCAGCATAGGTCACTTTCCTGCCAAGTTCCATGCAAGTCCTGATTCCTAGGCAAAGAGACTTTTCCTATTTTAATTCAAAAGCATAATGCGGCATGTGCATCGGCAGGTCCTGGCACTGCGTTCATTCAAGCACATGCCCTGGAGAGGTGCGAGAGAAGAGCAGGGCACGGCAAGCCTTTCCTCCCCACAAGACAGAGCTTTCACCTTGTGGCAAGCCTGCTCTACCCTGAGGCAGCTGTGGGTTGAAGCCATCAAAGCAATCTCTCCAGCTGCAGATCTAAGCGCTTCCACAATATGGAGCAGAAAGTGCCATGTGCAAACCTCATAGAGGTTTGGGTCATTCGGCGGTATACAAAATAAACTTTACCTTGTTCCGTGCATTTTCTGTCTTGTCCCGCTTCGCCTGGTACAGGGTGCTCTGGTAGGTGGGCGCAAGGGGCTCTTCCAGATTCACCAACATGGCATTGGGGTTCCTCATTGCCGCAAACGTTTCAACAGGAATCTGGCGGTCGATGGCGTCGTTGATTGCAATCACAGCCGCGTGCACTGGAGGGAACACCAGGCACAGGCTCTGCTCAGTCACAGCCCTGGAGATGGCTCAATGAGCAACCCAACCCCACAAGCCCAAGCCCCTTCCTTTTCTTGGGAGGAGAACGTGGGCACTTGGGCAGAGAACAGGAGCTCTGGCAGCACAACACTGGCAAGCACCCGTGGCTGCAAAACAGGTGCTCATCTCAGAAGGCAACCTCCAGGCCCTGCGTGATATAAAAATCTCTGCCACTTTTACAGACTGAATCCCTTCCGTCATATTTAATTCTTCCAATAGATTATGTCTCCATGGTAATGCTCTATTTCACACGACCAACCCGAAAAGATTGAAACCCATTTCCCCTTACGTGCTGCTTCATCCACAGAGAGCTCATTGGCCAAAATCCCACCAATCTTTCCAAAGGCAGGCATCTGAATCCCATACTTCTCCAGCTCGAGCCTCATGTTGCTGATTTCCTCCTCTGGAATAGCACAATGGAAAAGGACCAGCAGGTGAGCCCCAGGATATGCCCATCTGCCCTTTTTAAAATACCAGGTAAAGGCAGCCAGGTATTTCCCCATCTCCTTCCTCCCTGCCATCCACAAATCCCAGTGACAGGTCCAGCCACTGGTGGAGGAGATAGCACCTGGGAAGGCCCCCTACTCGAGAACGGCAAGGCCTGGTCCAAGTCTGGGGTTTGATCTTTAGCAGAAAGCAAAGGGAGGCTCTGCTGTCCAACCCAACAGCCAGATGGTGCCGTTTCTAAAAACAAAAACTCAAGCCACTTCCTCCATGGCCTACCCAAGGACAGGAAGGCAGGAGCTCCCCTCACCTGTGAAGTCCACTTTGCCATACAGGTCTTGAATCTGCGGGGCCAATCCCAACTTGAACAGGTACAAACTGAGGAAAAATAAAGGACGATCAGGCAGTGGGGTGGGGGGTGGGGTTTGGTTTGTTCTTTCTCTTGCTTTTATTATGCATTTTGAGTTTTTGTACTGCTTTTATGCTATGAACCTCCTGAGATCTTCAGATGAAGGGCGGTATACAAATTCAATAAATAATATAATAATAATAATAAAAACTCTGGGGGGAGATTAAAGGAGAAGCCCCAGAAACACTGTTTGAAGGAAATTTGTGGGATCTCTTCCTCTTGTGACTTTTAGATTCAAGTTGCCTCTTGCCCTTAAGTCTTCTGCACATAGAAGATCTCCCCCTGTCAGAACAGGGCAAATTAGAAGCAGGGAGACTCCCTAAATTCCTGAGAATAAATAGCTTCTCACCATGACAGAAATGGAGAGGGGGGGGGAATCGTTCTGCAGGGGGCAGGATTAATCACCTATTCATGCTGATGTTAGCACAACTGATTCAGGACCGAGGCAGGAAAAGTTTAATTTCTTTTCTGGCCACCCTAGAAACTAATACTGTCTAGCCTTGTTAGCGTTTGCATGTTCAGTTTTCCAGGCAGGAACTATGGGTGCGTGGTTTAATTTTTGATAGAATCAACAAACATAATGTAAGCCCAGATGGGGTTTAAGTAGGCAGTTGAAAAGAGTGCATTTCCTTGCCAACAAAGCAAGGAAAGTAAGAATTGACTGATTCTGCTGGGAAGCAGACTGTTGATGCCTGTTACCTTTCTCAGAGAGAGAGAGAGAAAGAGAAAGGGGCAGGCGGGCAAGGATGTTTCTTCCAGCCTCAAAACATCATCTGTTGTATCGCCTCACCTGCGCCCCTCTGTGTGATTACCTGAGTGCGTGAATGCAGTAGATGCAGCGTGGCATGTTCTTCCGGTCATAGATGTCTGTTGTTTCTGGGTAAAAAATCTGAACGCAAAGAAAAAGAGGCCCACTGATTCCTCCACATGCTTGGCAGAGCAAAACAGAGCAACGGTTTCCCCAAAGCTCACTCCTCCACTGTGCCCGCAAGCTCAGTCCTTTTGTGGGGAGGGGGGAAAAGGGAGAAGAGAGGGGGCACTCTGCAGCACCCCTAAGGAAGAGTTGGCAGGAGGGAGAAACATGACGACCATGCCAAGAACCTGGAGTGAAGAGGTAAAGTGGTTTGGAGTGCTCCACTCTTGGTTCCCATGTGCCTGTTTCTTCTGCCATCCCCCTCCCCAACCTTCAAAGACTCCTTCCATTCCCAGTCCAGACAAAGTTACCTTGGGGAGGCCAATCTCTGCCATTGCATTCAGCCACTGAATCACGTTGTCTGTATGCCGGAAGTGGAGGCCCGTAGCCTGAAACGCAGAGGAAGAATCAGGAGATGTGAAGGAAGGTGCATTGTAAGTTTCTTTAAAACTGCTTTCGGTATTGTGTTTTAGTATTGTAACCTGCCCTGAGACCTTAGGGTGAAGGGCAGGTAATAAAATAAGTAAATAAATAAAACAAGGAAGAAGCATCATGCACACAGGCAGACTGTGTTCAGGTGGATCAGCCCCCTTCACCCCAGAAGCCAGGGATTTGGGGTGGGGGTGGGAGTCATGTTGACACATTTCTGTGCAAAAGCTGCCGCCTGAGCCTCACCATAGCTGCAAGGGCCTTCAGAAAGCATCCCATGCTCTCCTCTAAGGAAGACTTTCTGTGATCAACAAACGAAACTGAGACTATTTGCATGGTTTCTTATTGCTAGTGAAAAGCCATGCACCAATTTTTAGGAAATGAAATAAAAATTGGGGCACACCAACTGTGACACATCTTCTCATATATCCTGCTCTGGGCTTTCCAGCAGCTGCAGTTGGGCCAATTGCTTATTTCTGCCCCCGCGAGAAGCCTCATTACAGAAGAAAAATGCTTGCCTACCTTATACCTGGTCTGCTCCCGGTCGTAGATCTTCTTGAGAGACACCACTTTGGGGGAGAAAAAGTTTCCAAGCTTGGCCAGGTAGACCCCGTTCCTGAGCCCCTCCTCCAGCTCCGTTGTGGGGGGCAGCTCCTCATTGAGGCAGGCCTCCATCCACCTGCAAGCAGGAGGGGTGGGGGAGAAGGACGTGAGTTGAGACCACCCAGTTCTAGCTTTTTATTCTTTATGCTTGCTTGCATGCCTGCCTTTCAACAATTAACTACCAAGGATGGCTCATAAGGAATTAATAAGATCAGCTGCGGTGGGGAAGGGCTGTGGAACTGCATTCCTGACCCCACTTGGGAGTCCAGCCCAGAAACACCCTCATCCAAGAGCATCTGGACCTGCACACAGACAAAACACCTGCTTGAGCACCTGGCCCAGAAAGGAAGTCTCCTTCCTGCAGAGGCTTCCTTGGTCAGTCACCTGCCACTGCCGGTTCTCACAAGGAGGCACCACCATTAATAATGGTCTCTTGGGCCTGCTAGCCAAGTGGTCCCCTCCAGCTACCTGTTATAAGTAAAGATGGCCAAGAATCAAGCTGGCAGGCACCAAGGCTAAGGCTGGCCGATATCTGGTTTTCAACATTGTGATATATCACCAGTTAAACATTGTGATATACCAATATATAACGATGTCTGAAATAAAGATGGAACTATGTAGAGGCGAACAGTAGGGCTGGGTGATATCTGGTTTTCAACTTTGTGATATACCACCAGCTAAACATCTCAATATTCTGATATATCACAATGACTGAAATACGGATGGAGATATATAGATGCACTGGTTGGCTTCACAGTTTTTCCCATGTTGTGATTTTTGCATCACACACACACACACACACACACACACACACACACACACACCATATTGAATCCAGGTCAAAAACGAGGAAAACAATATAATATCATGATATGGACTTCAAACCAGTTTTGAACAATATATCACCTAGCCCTAGCCAAGGCAAACTCCTTTGAGAACATTGTCCACCACCTTGGGTTTCAACAGCTGAACAGCATCCCACAGAGCATAAGCAGAGGTGACCCTCAGCCTCTTTGCCCAGTGACTGAGCAGCAGCAGCAGCAGCAGCAGCAGCAGCAACCCTCCTCACAGGGGTGTTGGTTGTGCAGTGTGTTTCAGTTGCTGCCCTGGCTTCCCTCAAGCTGTCATATAGTGAAGACGATCCAGCTAGCTTCAGGTTCTGCCCCCTCAATTCTGAAAGGACCGAGAAAAGACCTTCCAGGCAGAACTGCTTTGGCAACAACTTCCTTCCGACTACGGAATACAAAACAGCAAAGGGTGACTCAGGAAGCAGCAGGATTACCGCATCTGCAGGGGGTGACTTTGGCTGAACCAGTGACAACTGGTCCCATCCTTTTTCTCCCAGAAACCACAGCTCTGCACTTCCTCCTCTGCTGGGTGCTTTTCTCTTTCAGCCCCCCTTCCTGTTTATTGCCAGGGAAGGCAGCTGCCCAACCCCTCCCTCTCTTCACGGCCTGCTCCAGCCAGGTCTGAGGCAACATCCAAAGAAGTAATGTATGCCAAGGGCCATCTATGGGCTACAAAAACAAGCCACAAGGGCAGGTGGTGGGGCAGGTGGACCCAGGTGCTTTCTGCATGGGTAAAATGATGCCAGAAGAGGGGGTGCAATTGTGCCCCTTCCTGTCTCCAATAGAGCAAAGAGTCTAAGCCACAAGGAAGTCTCTTGCAGGGGAATGAAAGGGCCCAGCTGCTCTTGTAATAGCCAATCTCTGGCTTCTGCAGGGGGGGCTGTGGCCTCCCTGAACCATCCATGCTGGATCCCCGCTAGCAGCTGCCTGGGGGAGCCGCAGGAGCTCAGGTACCCTCAGCTCCTTCTCAGCCCTAACGTGGGGAAAGTTTTGGAGCGTTGATGAGGACCCCAGCAGAGGCGTCTCTTCCCCAGGCCAACTGTGGAGTGGAAGCCCTGGGGGACCCACAGCCCTCCCTGGCTCCCTCCCTCTGGGCCAGGGCTCTGCTTCCCTACCTGCATGTGCCCGTGGGGGGACAGGGGCACTTGCCTCTTACTATCAGCTCCTCAGGCTGGGTGGCGGGGCGGGGGGGAATAAACCAGCCATTGAAGCCTCTGACAAATAAGTCTACAATGCTCAGGAAGGGAAGAGGGAAGAGGCAGAACCCAACACACCCAAACACACCAGCCAGACATGTTTCACCATGAGAGGAGGAGGGGGAGAGCCCTCCAAAGCTTGCAGCTGGACAGACAATTTGGGGGCGGGGCACTGCAGGGAACTGGAAGAAGCAGCGCAGGAAGTGCAGGTGGCAGATGTGGGGTGGGGGTTGATTTAGCAGGCTCCAGAAGGGCCGGCACACTCTTGCAAACCTTTGAGAACAACTATTTTTAGGAGCTTCCAGAAAGGCCCTTTCCTCACTTTCCAAGCCAGAGGCTCGTGGGCTGTCCTGGCTGGCTCCAGCTCTCCAATGCCCTCTGAGCCAGGCAGAGAGGTAGGGAAGGAAGAAGCTTCCCCCCAGCCTGCAGCGGTCTGATTTGGACTTGTTCTGCCACCAAAAAGGAAAAGGAGCAGAAAGGAAAGGGTGGCTGGGAGGCCTCCTGTTCCACCCCCTGACAGTCCCATGAGCTCTGAAGGTGGGGCAGCTACTGCCACACCCCTTCCTCTGTTGCACAGGTCTTTCCTTTCAGTGTGCTTTTGGGGGGGCATGGGGAGCGGAAGGCTGCCTCTAAAAAAACACCTCTGGAAAGGGTGCATCTGTGCTTGAGAAACTGCCTTGTCTAGACTCACATGGAGAAACAGCTAGGAAAAGGAATCCAGCCCACCCGGAGGCAGTCCTGAAACGGAAAGTTATTTTCCAAGGACGAAGCAACATTTCACAGAAACTCTGGCCAAATCCTCAGATTGCTCAGTTCCAACCTCTTCCTCCTACACCCACCGAAAGAAACTTTCCAGTGAGCGGCTCAGGCAGGCAGGCACTGCTACCAAATTTAAAGCATGACATCATCCCAGGCCACACCCAGGCCTGCTGTGGCTGCTGTGGCATTGAATGTGCTGGCAGAGTTAGGCCAAGCAACGCAGCTGGGCTCTGGGAAAGACCAGCGCTCAGGCAAGATGTTTTCTGTTCTTAACACTGCAGGGGAAAAGGGCCCACTCTGAGGAAACACCCCCATTTTCATGCACCCCAGCTAGGACAAACAAGTGCTCTGGGCAGCCCCAGCCCCACCCGGAAAACCCCTCCCCATTTCAGCCACCAGTCTCTGGTGCAGGATGCCAACAGCACCTGTTGAGAAGGTGGCTAATACTACTACTAATAATAATTTATTATTTATACCCCGCCCACCTGGCTGGGCTTCCCCAGCCACCCTGGGTGGCTTCCAACCAAATATTAAAATACAGTAATACATCAAACATTAAAAGCTTCCCTAAACTGGGCTGCCTTAGAAGGCTAAGCCTTGCTGAGCTCTCAGGAGAGCCTCATGTACTGCTTCCTCCCTCCGCCTCCAAGGAGGCAGCAAGAGAAGGGTGCTCTCTGGGCAAACAGCGGCCCTGCCAAGGGGAGCCGGGCAGGAGGGACTCTCAAAGGGAAGCAAAGGAGGCAGAAGAGGAGGTCAGATGCTGGGGTGGCCACATCCCCCAAGCTCTCTCATCAGACGGGACAGCCGAATGGGACAAAGCTGTGGGCAGCCATCCATCTTGGGCCTGCCCATCACCCATGTTTATTATGGCAAACAGCCAGCATACTAAAACCAGAATTTCTGCATATAGCCTGCCCATAAAAAGCAAGTTTGGAGTGAGAGACTAGGGATCACTGTTTCCAGGATCCCTTCTCGTTGTGAGAATTTTGTGGGTGAGCTGAGAGTTTGTTTGGACGCTGGAGGCAGAGGAGGAGGATGTGTCAGAAGGAAAATGAATTGATATTGATTTATTCATATATTATAAACTTTGCATTAATATGTTTTTACATGTAACTGTGTATTTTTTGTAATATTTTGTTTAAGTTGACTGTAGTTGCTTCAGTTTTCTGTACACAGCTTAGAGATACTTTTAATATATCATATTTAATATGTTATCATAATATAAATAATCTAAAAAGAGCCTGCTGACACCAAGTGCAGAAAAAGAACCTGTCAGCAGCACCAGGAGGAGAATTCCCATTTCTACAGGCAGCTGAGCTGTAAAAAAGGTAAAGTAAAAGACCCCTGGATGGTTAAGTCCAGTCAAAGGCGACTATGGGGTTGCAGTGCTCATCTCGCTTTCAGGCTGAGGGAGCTGGCATTTGTCCACAGACAGCTATCCAGGTCGTGTGGCCAGCATGACTAAGCCGCTTCTGGTGCAACGGAACACCGTGACAGAAACCAGAGCACACAGAAACGCCGTTTACCTTCCCGCCGCAGCGGTACCTATTTATCTACTTGCATTGGCATGCTTTCGAACTGCTAGGTTGGCAGGAGCTGGGACAGAGCAACACTTTGTTGCATGCCAGGAGTATTTGTTGCCCCACTGAAATTCACAGCCCTATGTTAGCTGTGCCCATTAATTTCAACGAGCATACTCAGAGGAAGACTAGCACGGGGCACAACCCTTGATCTACAGATTGAAGGCAAGGCATCCGCAATGGTAATCAAGGCCCATCATATAATCAAAACCAACAAATCCAGAAAACTCTGTCAGCACAGCAGGGACAAAATGGGAGTGGGAAGGAGTTTCCTCTGAAGGGCAAGAAGAACAAAGCAAACCCGTCCGACTTGTTTGGCCTCCCCTGAAGAGCCCTCCCCGTGCGGGAAAACTAGGTGCAGGCAGGAGGAGTGCCAGGTAGTTCTGGGAGATGTTCCAGCCACCTTCATGGGCTGCAAGGAGGAGGCAGCCTCCATCCCCCTGCCTGAGGCCGCTGCCTTAGAGAGCAGCTGCTGCAGCCCCATCCTTTGGGGAGGCAACTGACCTCCTGAGCCAGGCCCTAAAAAAACTCTGGCAGCCAGCCAGGTGGGCTGCCCTTCTACTTCCTTCTCTCTACAGCGCCTGCCATGGATCATGACCCTTGCCTCTCCTTGACACCTTCAGCCCTCCATTACTGCCTTGGACCTTGACCTCCTCTGGCCTCTCACTCCTCAGGCGCTTGACCTCCACCAGT